TTTTTTTTTTTTTTTTCTTTTTTTTCCACATAACCCAGCGATATGCGCTCGCTACAGTTATTGCAGAGGGAAGCCATTACGACTCTCTCCTTGACCATTGTGTTTCTCCCCAGTTCCAGGCTGGCCATGTATATAATAGCGGCCACGTCTTCCCTTACTTTCACCTCTTTCTACAGTATCTGGTACTGCACCTTTTGTCCCTGTAGGTAATATAGCTGTTCTCATGACCTATATTATTACCTTTTTACCTCTATCTCTCTATGCCCTTACTAGTTTCCCCACGGCCTGGGGTGACTATAGTTAAGAGTGGATCAGGTTCCCGCTAAACCCTAGACCCGGCCATACCCGGGGGCTAAAAACCCCAATCCGAATCTCCATAGACTTCGGACAATGTCTAGTATGTAGTCCTCTTGCCCTGCGCCAACTATCTTCAGTCATTGCTATTAGCCTGCCTAGCTGTCAGACACCGGTCTGATGACCTTGCTGGTCGTCAAATATGCCGACCTACCTCTAGCTAATAGATTGAATCTAAGTAAAGAGGCTGGCTTGGCTCTGCGCTGTGCATATTCAGTAGCGAAAAACATGGTAAAACAAAAATAAAGATAACAAAAAAAGGAAAAGAGGGGAAAGAAAAGCGTAAGCTACAACCGAGCTGAAAGCTGGACCCACTGGAAGATTTTTCCGCTGATGAATCATGAGTTGCGGTGAGATCTAGGGCACTAATGCGCTGTCCTTACCTAATTGTCAATTGTGATGGGGAAATTGATAGGACTATCATCGAGATCAGTAGTCGTGGCTACTCCGTAATGGATAGATATCACGAAGTCCCACCTTCCGTGAAGAACAATTGTAGATCGTAGCGCACTAGCCCCACTACTTATGATGGTATTGGGTATATCTCACAGACTAAGTTGGGAACAGACAGCAAACGAGGACAGTGGTGATTGACGATCTTCCCCCCACACTTCAGCTGAACATGAAATGGGTCAGCGATTTACCGGATATCGCGGCAAGCTGTCGAGGGGTATAGATAATACTGAGCTCAAAGTGGGGTGGAACTGGGGGGCTAGCTGGTGCAGCGCTTAATAGTCACTTATATAGACGGACAGCCCTGCCACTGCAGCTGTACTTGTTGCAATCCTGGATCGCAGGACGAGTAGCGACAAAACGGACGGAATGGCACGCGATCAGGAGCTCGTCTCCCTTTCCTCGTTTGGCAAGGACCTCCTGGCCAGCGGCATCTTTACATCTCTGGGCGCACCAAACTTTGCCGACAAAAATGTCAAAGGCCCTTCTCGCAGGATCCTGGAAATTGCCCCGGATGAAACCTTTTCCCCACAGCCAGCCAGTCCGGCTACATGGATAGGTCTGTCGACCCTTTCGGCTGTGACATCAGCATATGCAGACTCTCCTGAATCTCCCGAGCAGCTCATCGTTGGGGGTGCTGAGGTGCAAAATGTGTCACTTGTTATGGAAGACGAGCACGGCACTTACAATGATTTGAAGGTGATGCCTGTTCCCGTCTCGGGGGCCAAGAGCAGTGGGGGGTCTCTGCTTGTTGCCCCGGTCGGAGGATCTAAGCAGATCGCTGCTCAGCAGATGCTTTTGCTACCGGCCAAGGCGGATTCTGATCTCTCGTTTTCCGATGATAGCAAGCCTTTGCCGTTGGCAGAGCTAGAAAAGGCAATGAAGGAGTCTAAGGGGAAGGTCGGTGTGATGCCTGTTGGTTCCTTTGCTCTCAGTGGTGACATCGAGAACTTCTTTGGCGTCGAGGGGGTTACCGGCAAGCTGTATTGTTACAAGTGTGATGGGGAGGTGAATGACGAACAGGAGGAGAAACCAATCAATGAAAAGGTTAGGCTGCAAGACATGGAATCACCCCTAGGAATCTTCTTCCCCGAGATCGAAAACAAGATGATCAAAGCTTTGCCCCTCAAGAACCTGGAGTTTACTTTCAGCAACACCGAAAAGGAGATTCTGCTGCCGCATGGGCTCCGTCTGCAAGGTGACCTGGAGTTGAAGGATGGACTGCAGTGGATTTCCGATGGCTTGAAGAATGTTTTTGGCGGTGACAAGGCCACAGAGCTGCCGTCAAAGATACGGGTCAGTGCCCTCTTGGCGAAGGAGAGAGACTGGACGAAGAAGCCCAAGATCGAGGGTATCGTTCTTCAAACCTTTCTCGATGAGATGAAGCTGCCTGCGTGGGACTTTTTGGAATTTCAAACAGCGGGTATCGAGCTGTCTGCGAGGAAGGAAACCGCGAAAAATGACATCCAGGAGGATCCGGAGAAGGACAAGAAAGAGGACGCTGAGAAGGGAGAAGAAGGGGAGGGAGACGGCAAGTCAAAGGAAATTATAAGCAAGAAAGAAACGGTGCGTCCCACGGTCGACTGCTGGGTGACAAATGGCTAATACAAGATTTGACTATGCATAGGCCTCGAATACCCCCACGATGAAGGATGATGCCACGGAGGAGAAGCGCCAAGCAGAAGAGAAGCAGAGCAAGGAGAAGAAAAAGTGGAAGGTAGGTTTTGGGCTGTTTGGCAAGCTCAATATTACCAAAGTACCCAAGTCACCGGTGCCCCTGGAGGCAAGATATTGGATTCGCATGGGCGACTGGAAAGAGGAGAAGAAGAAGGAGGAGGAGGAGGAGGAGGAGGAGGAGGAGGAGGAGGAGGAAGAAGAGGATGAAGTGGAGGACGATGACGAGGACAAAAAATTAGAGAAGCCAGGCGGCGGAGAAGGTAAGGAAACTGACGATGCGGAAGAGAACAGGCCCGCAGAAAGAGGAAAGCAATACGAAGGTGAGTTCTTTATCTATTGTTAAAGGTAGAAGCAAAACAGCTGATTTTATGCTAGTGTTAATCGCGGTCGGCGAATGGAAGGACTTTTGTGCCATTTCGAATCTTGACGTATGTACCATGGAAACGGTATTGAGGAATGAGTTGCTGAATACTGAAAACACAAAAGATGAAAGAAGCCCAGTTGCACGCATTCTTCAAACCCGGCGAATTCCGGAAATCTTGCACATTGGCTGTCACTGGATCCCTCGAGTTTGCCCAAGGGTGTCTTGACAAGGATGACGAGGAAAAGGACGAGAAGAAAGAGGAAGAAGGGGAGAAAGAGGAAGAAGGGGAGAAAGAGGAGAAGCCCAAGAATGCGACCTTAGCAATCGAGGGAGTTCTATCTAGAGGTGAGTCAGGTTTATCATGCAAACCGAACACGGACTGACAATGTTCTAGAGGACTACCATTTTGATGCCAAGGTGGGAAATTTGAAGCTCGATTCGATATTGAAGATATATGCTCAGATCACCGGGGCTGAACCATCGAAGGAAGCCAAAGAGCATGACCTGATCTTTGAAGAGCTGCATTTGAATATTAGCCGCAAGCTGAAGAGTAAGGAAAAGGCCATAGAGGACAAGAAGAATTTAAAGGAGAAAAAGGAAGAAGAACAGGAAGGAGAACAGGAAGGAGAACAGGAAGAAGAACAGGAAGAAGAAAAGGAAGAACAGCCTTCCACTTGCCTGGAGCTCTCCGGCAAAGTCAGCTTCAACGATTGCAAGAGTGTTCACGGTTTGATCAAAATTGACACTATCTCCGGCCTCACTATCCAGGGCGGAGTCGAGGATTACAAGATCAAGGATGCTGATGTTACAATTAAAGAAGCTAGTATCGACATCTTCATTGGAGCAAAACCAAAACAGGCTAAGGACACCTCGAAGACAACCAAGCCCAAACTCGAGGCAGATACCAAAGACGGAAAAGAAGCTGGCGAGGGCAAGGTGGAGGTCTTCAACCGAGCAAGCAAATTTGCCATCAAAGGCCGGGTTGATTTCAGTGGTATAACTGTGACGGTTGCTTTTATGACTGAGCGCAATGAAACCAACGCCAATTCAAAGAAGTCGTCTGAGCGGGAATGGGTCTTGTTTGGTATCTACGAAGGGAGCTTGCACCTAGGAAAGATGTGCGATATTATGGAAGGCCCCATGGCTGATCTCGAACTGGAAAATGTTGCTCTCATCGCGGCATCTGGCGAGAACAAGACAATCGAGGCGTTGAACAAGCTTAAGTATCCTGTACGAAAGGGTGAGTTGAGACATCATCTCCATTCTGTTGCAGACTGATGACTTTATGGTAGGAATTTCGCTATGTGCCACAATCCCACCTCTGCCTGAGCTGAACAACTTCGCTAAGCAGAAGGTGGACGGACTGGTTCTCGTTGCAACTATACAAAAGCAAAAGCTGGAGCTCGGCATCCAGTTGCCCAGGGCATTTGATGTGAGTATCCATGCCTAATCCGGGTTGCATTTGCGACAATTGCTAAGTATGTGAACCAACAGGTCACCATTACTGATAGTGTCAAACTTTGTGAGATTGGAATTGGCATTGAAATCAGCAAGACTCCTAGCTTGATGGTCATGGGCACTTTGAACATCGTCATGGATGTAGACCAGGATCCTTTGCTCCTAGAGGGCATGGTGAAAGCTGGCCTACTCAGTTCATCGGCTTCGATGTATGGTCACTTTTAAACCCCTTTCAAGCACCAACAGTGCTGACCTTTACATCTAGTGCCACTAAGTCGCCATGGGTGAACCCATTGAACATCAGTAAACATGTTACCATCGCCGACTTCAGAGTCGAGATTGAAATTACTTATGCCACCGTCATGGAGCTTGGACCATCGTGAGTCAACCATTTTACATCCCAGCATAGCTACGATTTGCGAGCTCACTAACACCTGGGGTAGCAAACTGGGCCTTGCTGGAGATATCGAGGTAGGAGACCTTACTGCTGGAGCGGCCATGCAGATCAGCCACCACCCTGGTGAGCAGGTTATATCAGCCAATATCTCCAAGGTGGATCTAGTCGAAATCATCCGTGTTGCCGGCCAGGTCGCCGAAATCCAAGTCTTGCAAGATATCCGTGGTGGTGAGGATACGTTTGTTTTTACTGATGCCAACATGTATTTCTCCACCGGGGGAACCATAGCCGGGAGAGAGTACCCACAGGGTATATCAGCCGGCGGGAAGCTGACGGCGTTTGGGAAGACGGCCCAGTTTGACCTAAGCATTGGCAAGGCTGGTCTGGATTTCCAAGCGCATATCGATAATTTCAGTCTCGGGCCCTTGGTCGTCTCATCCGCTAGTGGAGATCCCCGCGCCAAGATGATCGTGCTGATGACCAAAGAGAAACAAGTGATCCAGGTGGACGGAATGGTGAGATGCTTTGGAATTGGGTTTGCCACCTTAGTCGACATCCAAATAGGAACCGAAACCCCGTCTTTTGATGCGCGTATTGCCGTGGCGTTTACCGACGCCTTTATAATCAGTCTACAGGCGACAGTGGATGACTTTAAGGAGGTCAAGGATCTAGCAACAAAGGATTTATATTTCCAAGCCCAGATCAAAGGTGATTTATTTGACATGATCTGTGAAAGTATCAAGAGCTTGCTCCAGACGCTTGAGAAGCTGGGTACCGAGGGTATTGAATCTCTTCAGAAACTTATTGGAGCGCAGATTGCAGAAAGACAGGCCGAAATGAACCAACAAAAGCAAAAGCTCGACGAAGCACGGCAGAAGGTAGACGAGCAGCGAAAGGCGCGCCAACACGATATGAAAAAGGAAAGAGATAAACGCGACGAGGCAAAGAGAGAAATAGAACGGCTGCAGGACGAAGTGACCAAAGCCAAGCAAAATAAGGCTCAAGCTGAAGCTGAACTGAAAGAAAAAGTCGACAAGCTTAAACTCGAAAAAGAATCCCTTATCCAAAAGAAGAGAAAGGAGTATAATGACAAGCTGGAGAAGGCTAAGCAAGAGCAAGCAGACAATCAAAGGGAGTTAGAGCGGCTGAGACAACAACAGAGAGATAGATACGGCACCGATTTCCTCAAGAAGGTCGAACTTGCTAAAGGAGCCTATTATGAAAAAGAAAGGATCTTACGGCAAGCGTGGGAGAATGTTGCGCGGCTCCGTCGGGCGGTTGAGCGGGCAAGTTTGTAGGTGTCCCTCTGTCCCCATGTCTCATACAACCTTCGCAGAGCGCTGACATGTAGGGATAGCTTTGAGAAGATACCCTTGGTAGGTCCTTGACTTGATCTCTTGGTGGTAATTATAGCTGATTTATTTCAAACAGGGGGTGGAACTCGCGGCAGCCGAAATTGCTCATGAAGCTGCTAAGGTTGTACTCGGTGGATATCTCGAAGCTGCCAAGGTGCTTGAAGACACCGCTAATTCCGAAGCCTTTCAATCCATCGTCAGAGCCATTGAAGATACAGAAAAAGCGGTGGAACGCGCGGCAAATGGAATTGACAAACTTCTCAGCGGAGGCGGTCTTGACGGATTTCTTAGATCCTTTATCGACACCGAAGAAGCCAAGATCGAAGCAGCTATAAAAGCTCTCCAGGCAATGCAGAATGAGAACAACCAGTATCAAAGGGCTATTCGGGAGGCGCAGCACATCCTTGACCAGAACGCACCCGACCTAGAAGACCAGATAGCGCAGGCCGATGAGAATATCAAATCCCTCGAAGAGGATGCAATGTTGGCAGATCTTGAGCGAAAATATAACTATCAGCTTGAGGTCCACAACAAAGTACACAACACCATCCAACAAATGCAGGCTGGACTAGAGACACTCAAGGAGAACTGGCAAAAAGGGATGCACGCGTTGGAGGACGTGCTTAATGAGATCCAAAAGAAAATCAATGCCATCTTTCACATTGAGAGAATCGAGGTGGGAATCCACACTCATGCGTTGATCGACGACAAACCCCTAGTCTTCAAATTCCAAGGCACGGTGGCCAACAAGCCTTTTGAAATCAAGGCACAATGGGCGCCAGGCAATGATCTCAGCCGTTTGTACAAGGGAGTCACCAGTGAGATTCTGAAGCTTGCGGTGTGATAGCCTCAGACTCACGGTATATTATGCCGTCCTACACAGTCAAGTTACCATTAGATGGAATGATCGTGTGAAGGCGGCAGACGGGGACTAACCGTCACGATTCAGATAGACTCATTTAGTATTGAGAGAATGCCAATTTATACGAGCGCCTTGCTGTCCATGATTCATCAATGGAAATGTATTAACATACATTTGTCTATCCCCAGTGCATAAATTAACGATACCTTGAAATTAACACCATTCCGTCGACAATGGCAATGTCCCACTATATCTAAGAGAAGTATGTATGTACTTGAAATTAAATTTAAGAATCTTGCAGGAGGAGGAGTAAAGGCCCACGGGCGTCACGATATGCAAGTCTTTTAAATCTATACTTGCGTATGGACTCGTCGCACTCTGGCCTTCCACTCTTCCGGTGTCCGGATGTTCCGCAGTAATTTGGCGATATACACTTTACAATACAGCAGGTGGATATAAAACCGGGGACAAATATACATATATGTGGCCTATGGTAGGCGATCTCATCCTTACGTGAGAAAATGAGCCATAAGCGGTAGGAATACTAGGTGGTCAATAATATACCTATGAAAACATCTTCAACAGACGTCTTACAAAGGAGTGTGGCGCGTCTAAAACTGATTGTGACTCCAAGCATGCTGCCCAAGCACAGTGTCGCGGGGTATGTCAAAGTACAAGAGGAACGAATGATTAAGTATTGACGAGCAGCCTACTACGGTCAGGCGACTGGGACCAAGCTCTAGCATCCAATGTGGGGTGGAACGGACGCCGCAAAGCCTGAAGTTTCCATGGGTGCTTGCTTGCACTGGTACAATGCCTAGACCATGCGACGGGGCTTCATCGCGGACAAACATAGTGTCAAAGGAATGAATTCAGAAACCGGTAATCTTTTATATGATGATTGCAGGTGTTATGACGCGGAAGTCATTATTCATTTTCATTCATATTGGTTAGCAGAACGTAGTCATGTGCATAGTGTATCTTGAGAAAGTTGACGTAGGGCACGAAGATATCAGCCGTCTGGGGCCGACCTGTTGTCAGTGCGACGCAACGCAATCATCACTCTTATCATTTCTCCTACGACCACAGTTTTCGAACTAATATGACGAATCTCGCATGGTGGAGGCCTGCGAAGTCGCCCGAAGCAAGAAAAGCCTAATTGAACCAAGACTGCGCGGCGTTCCTCGTATGACTGTGCGCGACTGCGTTAAAATGCCAGGAAGCCTCGTATAGCTAGGCAACCACCCAATAAGGCCCATGCCCATGAAACAAGATTCCGATGGGAATTCATCTGGGACTAATTACAAGGTTAGCAGATGTACGGAGTAGGTGCATCTAGACTTCTTTAGGCCTCATCGCAGCCTAGGCCTAACCCTGGCCCAAGTCTAAGGTCCATCATGGGCCATGGGTCTCAAACAGTCCAAATATAGGGTTTATGCCGAAGTTAAGCTTTTCACCTCCCAAATCTATGAATATAAACCAGACTATAGTTGCCCCTAAAAAATCTCCGTTCGGTCAACAGGGCCAACAATATTCAGCCCTAAGCCGTGTCTGAAACAGTCTAATTGTACAACAACCGGACAGGGTCCGAAAGTGGAGCAAATGCCACCCACTTTCCATCTCACCGCAAACTAATTCATGCACATCGCGTTAAACTTAAAACCTAGCGCGGACTTATTATGGACCCTTGCCCTCATGAACAAACCAACGGGATAGTTGATGCAAGTATTGATGAGGCTAGGTTGTTCGTCTCTGTTTTCTCCACTGCAGGAAGATGCATATTGTTGAATAATCGAAAAATCTCATGCAGCCGCATCCGTTAGCCTGTAAGAGATAGAGAAAGAAAAATGACTGTGAACAGGATAAACTAGCTAGGTAACTAGATTATATCTTTTCAAACACTAGGAGTTTGGTGGCGAAAGAGAAGCGAAAGGTGGCAACCAACATAGGACAAAAGCCACTGGCCCACTTAAGGGTGCCCAAAATGTGCCAGGTGTATATCCTCAAAGGCGCTCTTGCCAGTTTCTAAACGTACAGGACATGTAGGCACACCAGCAAAAGCCACACATGTATTCGATAAACCATACACAATCCCCTGGTCTCCCTTAGTGCAACTGGAAATCAAGGTTTCCACTGCCCTTGAATCCTTCAGCAGTGACCATCTGGAAAACAGGGTTGCCTGGCTGGAGGCCAAGCTCTTTCCAGCGCTTGAAGTGAGCAGTCACATCAACCGAGCCGGTGGTGCGAGGATTGCGACGAACAGACCATAGCTGGTTGAAGTTGGTCACACCGTAGATCTTAGGTACATTTCTATAGGGAAGCATATAGACGTCGTACACGCCGCCGTCGACATTGACCTGGCCAAGGATATGACCATTGCCAGGGGTGCCAGTGCCGTGTTGTTCGACGATATACCACTCAGTCACCGGGTCTGTAGTCCAGCCATAGACCGCCAGAGTGTAGTCTCCCTCAGCTTTGAAGTGACCATCCCAAGTCAATTTGCTAGTCACGGAAGGACGTCAGTTCAAATCGCCGCCCAGATTAGCGCAACCGTTTACTCACCGAGTGCTACCACCACGATAGCCCTTGCCACCCAGGAACTCTTTGTCCGCATTCCATTTCAGTTGGAACCGGCCACTGTCAGGAAACTCAGTGTAAATGGCACCCGCATGGTTGTCGTTGTACAGAGAATAATAGTAGCCTGCGGAGTTCACGCCGTCCTTACTGGTTCTGAGGTCTGTAGAGCGACGCTGCAGTTGATCGTCGCTGGTGACATTGAAGATATTCTCTCCTATCTGCTGAAGGCGGTCGTAGGACTTCTCCCATTGAGTAACGGGCTCGGTGGACGTCGGATCAGTAGGACTTGCCAGAGCACCCAGGAAAGGTAACAGGAGGAGTAATTTAGTGACTGACACCATGGCTGTAGCTTGGCTATGGACCTTTGTAAAATGGAGATTTTGTTTTGGAAAGGAAACAGGGTTGGTCTGACTTTTTAGACCGAGGATAGCACTTGAGTTTATAATCTGTTCACTTAAAGCTAGGTTTCTCTTCTAGCAAGATAGTACAGTCCTAAGATAATAATTCCATGTGGGGCCGAATGAAGCCCTCGCCCAAGCCGCTGTAAGGAGGTACAATTCTAAGGAACACCAGGGTCCAGCCAGATTAGAGTTTACGACTTTGCTGATCGACTGAAACTAGCTGTCTTGAATTCACAATGTCAGCACTTCACATTTCGGCCACTCATCGTCTGGTGGCCACATTGGCCGGCTAGGGCAAGGCTTCTAGACAGTACGTGATCAAGTAAGAACGGGTGCGGTATCTGCCTGTCGATTCCTGTTGAAACTCCTTCATTTACTGAACCCGCTGCACGGGCACTCTGCCCGGCTTAATGGATGATTATTCATGGGAATAATTTACAGGGCGGACTTCCTAACAAGATGTGAAATTACACTGTTGCTTAACCTTGCCATTGGATGTTGATACAACATTTTATTTTTGGCAGGTAATACTAAAATAATGATTATGTACCATATATTGCTTTCCAGATTATGCACATATGATATAGGACTATTACAGTGATAGGAACCTCAACCTAATCTAAAGCCACCATTAAAAAAAGCCCAGATGGTATCTGCAGCCAGGGAGATTTCTATGGTAAGCAGTACAGCATCTGGTATATCATTGTAAGCAATCAATAGAGTCGACTCCGAGCAACCATGCAAGTGTGCTGGAATAGGCTTATGATATACTAATCGTAAGGTTTAGAGTTATTTATGAGCTGGGAGCATTGATTTCCTACGGATCTATTCGTGCCATGTCTTTACTACAAGGAAGAACAAGGTTATCATCAATGTTTATACTAGGGCTGGATACTATTACTGTTAATAATAAGATTCATCTTTCTACCGTGCTAGTACAGTCTGACAGCAAGATGATATAAGTTGTTTATATTATAGCTATCTGTGACTTTTAGAAGATACCCGTAGCTTATTATATATTATGTATTGTTGGCAAGGATAGGCGTTCTACCGCAACCCAGAAGGATGCTGCTATACACTGAGGTAAGTACAAAGGGTACTAAGTCCTAGGAGGATGTAGAGGAACATAAATTGAAGGATTATCACGGGTTGAATTTATGAGAGAGGAAAAGCTTTACTAAACTATAGAGTAATACGTAGCTTAATCATCAACAGAGTTGGTTAATTGGAAGTTGGCATCATGAACTACATAATGAAAACTGCATTTATTAGAGGTGAGGTTTGGACCGGATTTAACCGCCGAGCTGTTTCCTATGTAGATCCTTTCCCAAGTAAAAACGGAGCTCGGTATCACAATCTAAGAAAATGGACTTTCTATCTACACTCTATCACTCCATAAAGACCTGCAAATCTCAGCTGTCAGCAGAAATCAGTTGAAACTGTAGCCTCTTCACGACCCTCATCTAAAAATACCGGGACAGGCAACGGCTCGGTATGTGGCTGTCGCAGGATGACACAGTAAGGAGACGGAAATTGCAGAAGAACTAACCTATCATGCTACTTGGTGGCTGGATCCAAGGATAGTAGAGAGGAGTCCACAGGGGCTTACATCGGGATTACAGTTACTGTTAAAAGTGGGTCTATTTCGTAGAAGCAAAGTATGAATAAAGGACCCTTAATCAGGCTATTTCCCTGGTGCCGGTTGATACACCCTATAACAATTTCCGTGACAGGATATAATCATATTTAGCCAGGACCATCCGATTGCATGGAATACCAATAAAGTGAGACGCGCCGAGGTACAATCCAAGCAAGCTGGGTTGGCCTGCCAAGATCCTACCGGCAGTTGGCGCAGCAATTGCACTGCCGAACACGAGCTCCAATCCCTACTATCTCTGAAACCTGTGGGAAATAACCCCCTATGGCACAGAGTGAATTGCTACTAGGTTTTGGTTCAATGGAGACCTGCATATGCCTTGTGGGGCCGGTCTAGCCTTAGCTAGAACTTTGTAAGCTGATGCGGATTAAGCTAAGACTTTGTGGACCAAGGGCAGATGCCCTTGGCCATTGAAGCTTTGTGGGCCGGGTATAAATGTGGTGTAATTTGGTATAGACATTGTAACGTAGCCAGATGAAGGTTTATTGACAGCCTATAGTTGGAAGAAATAGTTCCCCAATGATATGAACTGTCAGTCATCACCACAGCACCCGTACTCTGAAAACTGATCTTGCGTAATGTCAAGCTTCTCTTCAAGTAATATATGACTAGATATCCATTTATCACAAAGCTGGCACTCCGACTCAATCCTTGCGCCATGCCAAGGCTTATATTATAGGCTCAGCGTAGCTTATATTGCTGTTTGCGGTGTCTGAAGAAGGCAATGCAACGCATATCCATCGCTATAAGACCGAGAATAAGACGAGGAAGATAGTTTCAGGCAATTGGGAGAGGGCCAATCATACAACCGTAATATTAACCATTTAGGCTGGAATATGGCATATATCTGCAAGCTACCAAGACCTTCCAGGCATCGTTATCAAGATTTCCCGACATTTCTTCGAAATGAGACGTAACTACGTGCCAACCTGAGAATACCCTGGATTACCCTGTAGAGACATCTATGATGTCCAGACATTTTTTGGGAGTGGAATGGGATGGCTCTTCGTCTGCTACTACGGCTGAAACATATCAATATAGTATCAGCTATGTTGTAATATTTAGAGATTTTAGCTATACATATAGAAATATTTAGTACTGGCCAGTTGGATGACAAACATATCTATGCCCCTAGGAATGGTCAAGCATGGGATGAATTGCGACAAGAAGCTCCAATAGACGGAAAAATGGAGAGAGCATAGGATATCGATATGAATTCGCAGACCGGAGGACCATATCCGAAGGCGAAGCCAAAAGCCGAGTAAAAATACATTTATCTGCTTGTCAAGGTGGGCAGGTAAACCGTCCAGCCAAACACATTCGAATATGATGAGACATGTTCCGAAGTACAATGAGGGAGTACTCAAATTAGCCGGTATTGCGGGCCTATAGACCGTGCTCGAAGAGCACATCAAATGCAGATCACGACAAATATCATTGATACTCGACATTTCTCATTGCTCACTCAATGACCAAGGCAGATGATGACTTGGTCGACACGGGAACCCTGTGGATCATAAGATCAATTCTGAGCGTGATTGGCCCCTATACGTGATATCTCTAGGGTGCGAAAACCTGCTCCGTCCCTTTTAAATAGCGTTACCCGCTGCTCAATAGACCTGAATTCTTGGCCAGTCTCGAAACACTATTGATTACAACAAATTGATCCACCGGCTATACTTTCACTATGAAGCTCGCCTTGGTACTTGCCACCCTTACGGCCACAGCGCTCAGTCAAAAGGAGCTGTGTGCACAATACGACTCTGTCTCGAGCCCTCCGTACACAGTAAACAACAATCTCTGGGGTAAGGATTCGGGGACTGGCTCCCAGTGCGTCTACATTGACAACCTCTCCAGCTCGGGCGCTGCGTGGCACACAACCTGGACCTGGAACGGTGGCGAAGGCAGTGTGAAAAGCTATTCTAACTCCGGAGTAAACTTTGAGAAGAAGCTCGTGAGTGATGTCCACAGTATTTCCACCGACGTGGAATGGGAAACAGGATAATACCAACGTCAACGCCGACGTGGCGTACGACCTGTTTACCGCTGCGGACAAGAACCACGTTACATGGAGCGGCGATTATGAACTGATGATATGGTACGTATTAACTGATCTCTCCTGAACGATCCATTCTCCACCTGTACAATAAGAAAGGTTTAATAGACTGACGCAACCCGGGTTTTGTTTTGAAGGCTCGCTCGCTACGGCGCTATCCAGCCCATCGGCACCAAGATCGATACCACTACGGTTGAAGGCCATACTTGGGAACTATGGTACGGCACCAGCATCCAGGCAGGCGCCGAGCAGAAGACGTACAGCTTCGTCTCGGCCACCCCGATGAACTCCTTTAGTGGGGACATTAAGCCATTTTTCGACCATCTCACCTCTAAGCACGATTATCCTGCTTCCGCTCAGTATCTGATCAGTAAGGACCCATAGCCCTAACCCGAATGCAAGCAAAGCCACTAATAAGGGTAATTTGTAGATCTTCAATTCGGAACTGTGAAAGTTACCGGTGGCCCGGTAACTTTCACAGTTCCGAAATGGACTGCCACTGTCAACTAAGAATATGGATGCTTCTTGCCCCTGTCCACTGAGGGGTTAGGCATGGCCTGCTTACTACTACTGTTTATACATTTTTTTGATTCGCTTCGAACATTTGAGGCTGGCGGTTGATGTCCCCTATAAGCTGAACTTTGCCTTGCAGAATAGATGTGTTGTTTTTCTATCAGACAAAGAAGTTAGCAATCGCATCCGCTCCTTTTATTAAGGTTTGCTATATTTAATTTTGGTCACTGTAAATACTCTGCCAAACCATCCACTTTCTTCTCGTAGTGCTCATCAACTACTTTAGTCCACTTCCATGAGTAGTTTTATACTGATTACATGTATGCAACGTCCGGATGTGAGGCTTTGGATAGTAACGTGCGTTCAGACTACTAACTTTAGTAGCCTACTTGTAAGTTGTATGGTGGGGGGTGCGGGGGAAAGAGACAAATTATTCAGGGCATCCGTAATTACTCGATCTTCAAATATATCGTGTGATTTAAAGCTAATTTATTTTCACTTCATGTTAACGACTACAATATATATATAATGTTGGGATCGTTCGTCAAAGCCACGGCCCACGACTAAAGTTCCAATGGTTGTTTTGTTCTAGTGGGGTAAATGAACAATAGATAACCGTATGTATATAGAGTAGATGGTATTAACTTCTGTAAATATGTCAAAAGAACTGAAGATACACAGGAGTAGCTATACCTATTGGAATAGTCGGAATCGCAGATGAGTATATTCCAGTCACGGGTTAATACACAGACACGTCACCTGCCCACACGTGATTCGGATATCGCGTCGCTGGATCTACGCAAGGTGGCCTCTCAGAAACCTTGATATATAGCTTGCGCAATACAGTTGAGTGTAAGATATGAATCCGGACCAAAATGCTGAGGGTGTTCCGGATGATGAAGCTTTTACAGAGGCCGCCCCTCTAATCTATCAGACAGAGAATGAGACTGCTGTTCCTCCTGGCCCAGCGCAGCCATATCGCCGCCTCAGCCTTCTCTCCACAACATTTCTGATGTCAGTATGCAAGCAATTCCCGGTCATGGAGACCCCCGCTTGGAATTGTTCGTCTCACTGAGGAATACACAGAACAAATCGGATGATTGGCACAGCAATATTCTCCGTACCATCTGCTATTGCACATAGTACTGGCAGTGCCGGTGCATCACTGGTTGTGTGGGTTGCTGGCTACTTCCTGTCATTTTGTGGCTTCTTCATATATCTTGAACTGGGCAGTCTTCTACCACATAATGGCGGGGAAAAAAACTACCTAGAAGCTGCCTATCCACGTCCGCCTTTATTTGCGACCGTGATATTTGCAACGCATGTTATTTTCCTTGGCTTCACTGGTATGTACATACAACGACTCCTCCCTGCCTCTTGTTGTCATCAATATTTTAATGCGACGTGCAGGAATTGGTACCATTGCTATTTCAGAGAACATCCTCTTAGCTACCCAAGCAACAGCTAATGACTGGATTAAACGCTGCATGGCAATCACTCTCATGGCAAGCGTCGCAGCGATGCATATCTGCGCGAAAACTTGGAACGTGAAGCTTATGGTAAGGGGTTGTACTCATCATGTGATAATTTTCTGTTAAGATGGCTTATATAAGGGCTCTAGAATATCCTTGCCTCAGTCAAATTACTTGTTCTGACTCTAATAGCTGTGACGGGTCTTGGGCTGGTCATTTTTAGGTCACCAAATGTAGCCCACCCTGGCGCTAGTTATGAACGTCCATTTGCCGGGTCATCCACCGACGTCTCGGACTACACAGTCGCCCTATTCAAAGTCCTGGCCACGTTTCAAGGTTGGTCCAACGCAATGTATGTCCTGGGTGAGGTGAGAGACCCCCGGCGAACGATCAAAGCAGCAGGATTCATGGGAGTCGGCGCGGTGGGGATTCTTTATGTCCTGGTGAACGCGGTTTTCTTCGTCGCGGCAACGCCCAAGGAGCTGAGCGAGACCGGTATCACGGTGGTTGCATTATTCGTTGGTAAGGTCTTTGGTCAGCAAATGCAACGTTTCACGGCTATTCTTGCTGCTCTGTCATCACTGGGCAATATCATGACCGCATCTTTCTCTATGTCGCGAGTCATCCACAGTTTTGCACAGGAGGGCTTATTGCCATTTTCCCACTTTTTTGCCAGTAGATCCCGTTCAGGTTCACCTGCTGGAGCATTTGCATTGGTATTTTGCTCGTCATGTGTCATGATTATCGCTGTTCCTTTTGGTGAGCCCCGGCCTTGGTGGATGGCAATGCTCGAGTTGACTAATGTTACATTGCAGGGGAAGCGTATAATTTCTTGCTTGACGTGGGACAGTGGGCTGTTGCCTTGATTCAATTCTTCGTCGTGTGCGGCCTATTTATTATTAGAAAACGGGTGACATATCCTCCCCGTGCCTTCAAAGTGTGGACTAGCGTGGCATATATCTTTTTAGCATCGCAGGTGTTCCTCATCGTGTCACCGTTTGTGGCGCCAGTGAACGGTCGTACCAGCTTACCAGTTTGGCTTACTCCGCTCACTGGAACGTTGCTCCTATGCCTTGGTGGTATTTACTGGTATATTTGGTGGATATTGCTACCAAAGTTGGGGCGATTCTCATGGGAAAAAAGCGTGTTAATTTGCCCCGATGGGGAGCAAGCGGTTGTTTGGCGACGCATTCAGAAGAACTGACTCGCGATGAATAGACAAAACCAGGGAACATCTATATGGGAATTGGCATCAGCAGAAAGAGTTGCGTCAAAACTAGACCATGTTTCCGAGGATCGTCCTACCACCGTAGACTATTGTTGCCGGCTCCCTGACTGATTGACTTGTATAGCATATAACATCGGCTCTTACGAGAGGTCCAACGTTAAGTTCAGCCAACCGACGGTCCGCTATCTTCCTCTACTTGTCATAATATTATACCCAAACTGCCGGAAATACTCGGTAGATTGGATTGCTGTCGCAGTCAGTAGGTATTTTGATTTTTTTCTTCTTTCGGAAATAGTAGAGGTCTTAGCTTATCAGATTATTATAATGTTCGAAGGTATATCTATGGAACGGTCAAAAGATATAATATGAAACTGGGTACCAAGCCCCTATCCATGATTTAGATTAAACAGACTAACGAGGACCTGAATATCTTCTCGCGTATTGCTCTTCGCAGAGAGTAGTAGACTACCGAAACTATCACGAATGTGGCCATGCTTCCTCTGTGAAAGTGGCTCCTAAGCTTTATCCTACAAGGGAACCTGCTCGATTCTTTCACGTACAGGCTCGATGGGTGCGTAGATTTATCCTAGTTCACTCAGTCTCAATGACCCGCACTGTCAATCATTGTCTCAGCATATTGGGTTATTGCAATTTAGCCTTGGGTTCTCCTTTTCCCACTTGGATACAGTTTTGCTCCACGGGTGCTTTCGGCTGAGTGTGTATGTCTCCGTAAAAATCTGCAGTAGTTATAGAATATCGACACCAAAACTTCAAACCGACGCATTACGTACATAGTAGAAGGCGAGAAATACAACAAAGGAAATAAAAAACAATCAAAAGAGAACTTTTCAAGAATCTGATTCAGGTACTGGATTCCGCTGCTGGTTGCGTGACGACACTATTAGCAAACGGAACGGCGTTCCATCTCACCCGACGCAGATGCCTCGAAGGGTCCTTGATGCCATTCCGCGCATGCAGCCATCGATAATTATCCAGCAGAATGATAGATCTTTCCGGTAGGTCAGCTGCAGTAAGATGCAGCGTGGATTGTGATAGCGCCTCCATGTTCTTCAGGGCGCCCTTCAGCTGCTTCAGCGCCGCAGCAGCCCTGGGACTCAAAGGCGTCACGATCTCGTCACGGTATCGCATTATCAGGGAATGGCCGTGATCCTGCGTGTCGATAGCAAATAGGCTGCCCACAATATGACGTTGGTCGGGATGTTTGATAAACTCGGGCGGAATGGTGATCTGATATTCGGGTTCAAGGAGGGCTGCCTTGGTGGCAGGGGAGAGAAATTGGCTTAGTCGATCGATTTTCATGACCGAGAGGGTGCCCCCACCGTAGCGATCGGGGTGGAGAACATGAAGCGCAAAGAACCGTGGTGGGGCGAGCTCGTAGCTGCAGTCTGTGTGCCAGGGAAATTCCTCCATTGTTTCGGATCGAGCCTGGTGATTTTCTGTCTGAAATGTGGTCGCGCTGGGGCGGACATCCCAGAACCAGCCGCGAGATGCGCTGTGAGTGATGGGGAGCCCGTGTCCATGGTTTTTGGAAAGGCTGACAATGAGGCTTCCTAAGTATTGGCTTTTGTCGTCGGGGAAGCTCAGGCTGATTTTGAGGATTCCGTAGTCCTTGAGATGGTTGTGTATATCACGAACATGGTGTTGGTGTTGAGAGTCAGCAAGATCTCTTGCCAACAAGTGAGGTACTGCTGGCAATGCGTCTATTGTGAATTGGCGAGTTGGCCTTTGTATCTCCGACAGATATTGCCTAGGATTTGTGCCTATATTTAGGAATCGAGCACATCTGCTCGTTGACCGGGCACTACAGATATGTCTCCCTATATATTGCATGGCGGGCATCAGGACTCTTCTGAGGACTGTGACGAACAACACAGTGATCTGGTCCGAGGGGCAAAAGCCTCCAAATCTAGCTGGATGTCTTTGCGAAGGCAATGCTAGTGGATTTCAAGGAGGTGTACAGTCTAGAATAGAACGAGTAATATCTCCTGGACGCACAATATGCATGACTATTGTTTAGAACATAAATTTAAGGCTACGCAAATCTGGCTAAATAAAAAGGTGCCGATGTACATGACAGCTTTTGATAGAAAAATCGCATTACTGAAGCGAGGCAAGCTGAAGCTAAATTGCTAGATCGAAGCTCCACTACCCAATCGTACAGCTGCATCGCCCCGTCCTCGAGACTACCATGCTATAAGGTCATTTCGCGTGATACATTGTGCTATTCTAGACCACAAAAGTTTATGCTTCAGCGTAATCCTCACCTGCAGATGACGACAGCTATTGGTAATGTTAGCTGTGATTGAAATTTGATCAAAACTCAAGATATCCTCCAGCACACATTATCAATAGTTTGTGATAGTGTTCCTCAGCTTTGCTGGTAGGTTGTAATATTTAATCCATACAATGCACAGCAAGCTCTTATTTACGTGCTGTAGAAAGAGCACTGAGACGTTCCTATTACAATTATTCCCGGAGTCTAGGCTCTATAAGAATGTGGTCATTATCTTCTTTATCGATTAGGTACAAGACTTGATACATGTACGCTGACTGCAAGACTTACCACACTGTCGGACAGCTGAAAAGTTTTCATCTTCCTATTGGACGCCCAAAAATAACTTGAGTCCGTGCGAAGAATCGCCTGTACCCCACGGATGCCTAATTGAAGCATCTATGACTTGATATGTAATCTAAAGCCAATGCATCTCGAAACTATTTATGGTATGCTTTTGCCAATCATGACCCAAGTAGCTCAGGTAACTGATCTCAGATACAAAAGATGATCTTGCTGCCAAGCCAAGCTGAGGACCACTTTGCATACCCCATGCTATCCTTCCAGCCGAGGTTTAGGCCCAGCGGGAGGAAGACAAATACTCAAATTAATCGAGAAAGGGCGGAGCAAGACATGATGTGATATCTTGTATGGAAGGAGTTCTGCCTGGCATTGTATCCCTTCACCACCATCCTTCAAAGCAAAAGAGTGGTGTGACCTAAGTTGTTCCCCGCATTGCTTGAACCATATACGCCCGCTTAGAATTGTAAGGCGTACATTGAATACATTTGTTTTATAGCAGATAGCACGGGATCCCTGACTTTATTTCTCAACGTACATCCTTTCTGACACCCACTGGGTGGTCTAGTGGATAGCAGCCGGCAATTAGTCGCTGGTAGATTTTATGAAGGGCCAGGATGTGGAGGCTACAGGCAAGACTATATAACAAGCTGGGAAGGATGCATCCGCTTTTGCACTCTCGGTGTTGGACCCTTCAGGTAGCCATTTCAGGATTCAGATAAGTGTTGCGACGCTTATTAAAGTACCAGGAAAATGTCGCGTGTTGTATAGAGCTTGGGACACGGCCAGGCCCTTCTCTTCATGTCATACTCTCTTCATAATTCCTCCACTGGGTAGGACACAAGCTAAGATTTAGTCTAATGTAACCTATCCAGTTGCCTGTTCACCACATTGCTTGATTCATAGTCAATTGAGGGCCATGGCGAGCGGTGTCGTCGCACGCTGCGATCTTCACTTTGCCATTGGCTTTACAGTTACCCTACTCCGCTTAATCGTTTCCCAGCGTCTGGATCATTTCCACCGTGACACCATCATGAACTGGTTGTTAAACAGTCTTCTGAGGTGGCAAGTGCTTGGACCAGATTCAGTGAAACAACCGTCCTTTTGAACAGATTTCGTCTGAAACTGTAAATAGAATCATAAACATGCCGGCGGGGTCCGGCCACTAACAAAAGCATATTTTAGCGGTTTTCGTGAGTAGCTCCCCTTTCCTGGGAGTAGATCGTCTCCATCTAAGTCATTGGCCCTTGGTTTCCCGTATCTGTTGATTACACCCACATAATAAACTACATCACGTAGTCTTCGTCTTAAGATGCTGATAGTTAGTCAGGTGATCGAGTTGCTATGTGACACCAACAGCTTTTCTTGTTTACTTGACAAACGATCAAGCAGGACTACTATTATAAATAAACAGTGAGAAATAGTTATGCGCCAGAATAGGCTGGGAATCATTCACTACAGGGGCATATAGGGCAAAATAAAAGCAATTTGTTGTATGGTTGAGTAGATATTATCACATATTAGCGAGACCTATAAAATAGTGTATCAAATACCACCGTACTACCAGTCTCACCTTCCATACAATGCCAACCGCGGATTTCAGCGATATGGTTTTACCCCCGCGAGGCTTTAATTATGTCGAACGGCATCTTCTATAATATCATATTGAATATCGAAAATAATGTTTGGTGAGGTGAGGATTTCCATGTCCCACGTACTCGTTGAGGTACAAATATCAGCTAGAAGTTCTGTGATATTTCAATTTTTTGAATTTCATCAGGTCGGTCGGAAGCCCAATCTGGTATTAGGCATATATTGGAATCAAAATGCGAAAGCTCCGCCAAGCAAGTCTCCTTTTGCGCCAGTTGGTACGATGAAAAAGAAAAATAAGTAAGGAAATGATCTAAATAGGCACCATCGCCACCTTCGTCCCGTGCTTGCTCGCCAACGTAAGCGCGAGACGCTCCTCCCACGGGTCCGGGTCCCGATTGGTGATCCCCTTGAACGATTGCACGATTCGGACGATGGTGTAAGATGCCTCAGTCAAGGCAAACTGCTGTCCGAGGCAGATGCGAGGGCCTCCGTTAAACGGTACAAAAGCCCAGCCGGGTCGTATGGTCTCCCATCGTTCCGGGCGGAACTCTTCCGCGTCGGGGCCGAAAATATCCTGGCGTCGATGCATCACATACACATCGTAGGCGACTCGCTGGCCCTTGGCGACGAACACGGGTGACTTTCCGTCTGGACCACCTCCGACGGGGAGGAAGGTGTCCTCGTTCGCGGTGCGACTATTGGATGGGACCACGGGGTATAGGCGTAAGGCTATGGGTGGTCAGTATTGTTAAGGTTTGGGGAATATCACAGAGTTCTACTGAACGTACTTTCATTAATGACCCAGGAGAGGTATTTCAACTGTTTCAGCTCCTCGAATGATGGGCATTTCCCGTCAAGTGTTGCAACCTCGCTCCGCAGAAGATCCCAGATATCTGGACGCCGTGCGAGATGATAGAATACCATGCTTAGGAGACTGGCGGTTGTGTCTCTCCCTGCAAGCAGGATATTCAAGATCTGGTCAGTGATCTCGGTGGGGTCGTCCGTTTCCTTAGCGAGCTCGTGGAGAAATACATATCGCGACTGTGAGTTTGTTGTCTCGCCCGCATGTTTCTCGGCGTCCAGCGAATGTCGGTATTGGATGGCCTTTTTGACGAAGTTGTCAACATAGCCTCTAGCCTCTCTGACAGATTCTCTGAACTTGGGTCGAAAAATCATTCGGTCAAACGGTGCGAGCGCCACGCTGAAAGCTATGCCATCTTGGGCCACATTGAAGTGATAGGCAAAGCTAGAGGATTCTGCGGAAGATCCAGGACGTAAAGACTCAACCGACTCTCCGAACAGGAACTCGGTCGCCGTATCGAGTGTCTAGAAGATGTACGATTAGGTCTGACACTGGGGCATTCTAGGCACGGAAATTCATCCATACCAAACTGAAAAAGAGCTCTTGCAGGTCCACCGTTGACCCATCTCGCGGAATCTGACTGATCAGCCGCTGAATGTGTCGCTCATACAGATCGGTCGCCGCGATCTGTGTCCGAGTGAAACTCGGTCTCAACAGAGTCCGAGAATGTTCCCACTGTCGGCCATCGGATGCGAAAATGCCATCGCCTAAGAGCGGATGGAACGTCCTCCGTCTTTTCTCTCCCAGGTCAAATTGCTTGAACTTCACGGCCAGAATAGTTTTGATGTTTTCTGGTTCCACGGTGCATATATTATCGTCACCCAGAACGGAAGTCGTGAAGGTGTTCCCATGGCGTCGATATTTTTCTAGCGCCCATTCCAGAAACCGGTCCTCTCGAAACATCCGAAGCATAGTCCGCACTTCATCCAGACCCAACACAGGATCAATATGGTGTTCTCTTGTTGGGGGCAAGCAACCGTGTAATTGTTTGAATCGTCGGACTATAGAAGTCCTGCCATTAGCGGGGCTTTACATGGTCGGTGGGGTTATACACACTTTGGACGGCTCTACTTATCTTGCGGGCAAGATATAAGCCCGCAACTATCAGGAACAGATATGTAACAAAACCTAGGGAAACTGCCATGATGAATCTCCTGGCTTCTGTGGATTTGGGCCGTACAAAATTTGGACCTTAGTTGCCTGTAAGCAAAGAAAAGGCACCAGAATTATATATCGATCATGGCTTACATGCTGAGATAAGCTCTCCGTGGGGGCCCTTACATCCATGGCGCAACTTGCATGATATTCGAAGAGAATACGTGGTGACGGCTTACCCCCGAGCCCCGAAGTCTTGTCGACGACCAAGAGCCAGGTCAGGATCTCCAGGATTACTTCCGTTCGGAGATACGGGGTTCACATTATTGGTTATGTCCTCAAAGAATGGAGCTCAAAGGAACGGAGATCGGTCCCTAACATCTCTAGGCACATACTGGCAACCAATCTGGTGGTTGATCTTCCACAGTCAAGGCAGATTGTGGCGCAGAAGCGGGATGCTGACGCCTAAGGCCATAAGGATCTGCCGGTGGTATTCTTCGACGGGCAGGCGGGAGTGGAGGCGGTACGTCTCGTCATCACCGAGCCCCGGCATGAAGATCGACACCTCAGGCAACAGGATGAAACTGTGGATTTCTACACAGACTTCCTCGATCTGGATTCTGGACGAATACACAATTGCACCTATGATGGCCTACACTTAACTTTATACCCCTGGAATACCCATTTGATCTTGATTACTCAAATGTGACTAGATTGTTTAATACACAGCCCATGTTGGAATTTTGAACGCCATTGTAGTAGGCAATTCTACCCACACCAATTCAATGAACAACCGCCCAGGCAAGGCCAGACACCTAATGTCGCGACACTAATATTATGTTGGGGGCGTCGGCATGATTCCACCAAAACTAGAGGCATCTTCAGGAGAATCAAAGCCGCCCGAGATAACCGACCCAAACAACGTCCGTAGATCGATTCCGGGCAACAGAGGATCGCTACCGAAGTCGAAACTGGCATCCATTGAAGAATAGTATAGATCGTCTGTTGGCTGACCGACGCTATCTGTCTGTTTGTACGGTTCAAACCCCCCGCTGAGTTCAATATTGGATCGTGGGTTGTCCTAGATGGGTCGAGTGGTCAACAGAACAGATCACTTCAATGAGCAAGGTAGGTTCTTACGGATGTATTCCGTTCCATTGCCACTGGCATTGGCGTGTTACTCACGACGCTTGATCCGGTCCTGATATGACCACAGAAAGGCCTTTGCGTCGGGGTAAGTGGGGCATCCATAATATCTCCAGGGCCACGTCCACCGTTGATATCTTTGACGTGCTGTCGCGCTATATGGGCAAACTCTGAGACCAATGAACAGGGCAAGGACCCACTCGATGCATGCTCTACAAGAGCGAAGTGCCCTGAAACAATATCAAGCATTGCCAAGTTGGTCTTTGTTTCCGAGTGTGTGGGATTGTGGACCACAAAGTCGAAAAGCAGGAAGAGCGCTACAAGTGGCATGATTGCAAGTATACTGTGTCGATTGTAAGGCTTCTGTGGAAGCATACGGAATAGAATAGTGCTAATCACTTACAACAGTGGAGTATGGGGTGCCTTGTCAATATATTGAGTCAGCTCAATTATCCGTCGAGCCGAAGCCATCAGACTTCGTCTGCTGTCTTCCTGTCGCGTACCGTCGTCCGAACCGATCTGTAGGGTAAGCCGCGCCAAAGCAATGGTCATGCTGTAGTAGGAGTAGTGAGTTTGGAGAGCAACCATTTTCGACACAGGATCGTTGTAGGTCTGTTGGGGACAAGATTCCCCCGGTCGGAACGGTTCGGGCACAGTCAGTCGCCATTTTTCCAGGCGCTCCTGGACATAATCAATCGTTGTGTAGTATGTCTCTGTGGAATTCTGGGCGGCGCTAATGGAGAACAGAAGCTCATATGCTTGTGACGTTATCCTAGCAAATCGGATGGAGGACAAAAACCAGTTATAGCTCCCAAAGTTTGCCTCTGGTGTTTCTGGGATTGGGCACCCCACGTTGTAATCTGCGATCAGCTATCGCGGCCTTAGCGGTGGTCCCTTACTTGAAAAGGGTGGGCTTACCGAATTTTCCCTATTTTGAAATGCTAACTGCTTTTCCATGCCGTAGATGACCCAAAATGTCCGCAGGCACCACACTTGTTGCTCTCTGCTGCAAATGGCTCGGTGATATCGGAGGGCGTGCGCCATACGCGCTGCTTCCATGATTAGGACTTCGTCAATCTGCAAACAACAGGTGTTCATGGCAAAGATGGACATAGCAGTCAGAGCTTGCAGGCTAAGCAACGATTCGCGTGGTACAAGGATGTCGGCCATCAGGCCTAGTGACATTTGGAAGAACTTCCATGCTTTGCCCTTTCCGGGATCAAACGATCCACCATCATGGTACTGACATCCCAAGGCAAGTACTGCGTGGTATAGAGCAGAAAAGGCAGGAGTGGTTTCCAACGTCTGTGTGAGCGTCGCCGAGAACGCTGTCTCCTCGAAGCTTTGTCGGTCAAGGAACGGGTACATCGGATGAATACGCTTGAAATAGACTACCGACCCATTAGACTGTGTTTGGACAGGATCTAAATTCTGGATCCCAACCATCTATGTAAGCTCGTGTCAGTTCCGCCGAGATCCGCGTGGAGCTGAGTGGCTTTTTGAACGTAACTGGGGAAATGGATGTCGCTCCCCGTGCGGTAACACGGCCCTCGATGACTGCTTCAATACAATCGACCAACTCTTTGAGGCGAGAGTTCCCCAGTTTTTGCGTCAAGGATTGGATCTTTCTATCTGAAAAGAAGGCCAGATTTGAGCTGCACACTATATCGTTTGGTCAGGACCATCCCTCCGGAAAACAGCGTATTGTTTGGGTCATGCCTTCGTTTTCCTGCGACTACACGCTAGGGCTCAGTCACGCTCATGATTGTCTTGCTGAAGATCACTTACCCTTAGTACATGGACTTCATCCTGGAGCATTCCCTGGAGGGGCTGGCTATCTAATAGCTGGTCCACAAACAGTGGTGCTAAGCGTGGTTTGGTCCGTTCATCATTGTACTCTCCGCTACCAGGAGCTACACTTGATAGTGAGGGCTCGCCTACTCCATAATTGCTTAGCTCGATCAAACGCACCCAGCCTTTTTACGAAACCTACGGGTCACTTTCTGGGGCTGAGGCTTGAACCGGCGTCTAGCCTGTTTGAACTCGCAGCGCTCACCACGCTTCTAGAAGCCGGGAGATCCGGTTAGTAACCCTCAGGAGGTAGGAGACATGACGGCTAGGTTCCTGCCTACAATGCAATGCTTGCATCTGGAAGGGTCCTCGGGAGATACTTTCACTGCGGTCAGTTCAAGATCTAGCTGTCGTAGAGCCAGATAGAAGACTCACCGATGCACCGCACTTTCCGAGCCCTGCATGGTTCGCAGGACTTGCAGATCCGGTTTTGATACATAATCGTCTGCCGGTCGCTTCTCTTGCTCAGGCTTTTGACGAGAGCCGACAAAACCTATTCGGTGAAGAGTTGAATCACCGAAATACTTCTGAAGTCAAAAATATGGAATACAGTAGGAAACATTGTGCCTGCTGGGTTCCGGAACAATTCGGTGTTCGGAGGTGACCATCCTGTCGGCACTCGGCGCTTGGCAGCCGAAAAACCTCGCATTGGCTCATTGACCGCTCAAGTGTCCCGCCTTCTTCTCTTGGTGATCAATCGGCAGAACAAATGCTACAAATGATCAACTACTAATTGCGCTTGATCCGTAACACCTCTTTGAGCACGGTTTTTCAGTGGAATGTGGGGAGTCCCTCTGATATTCTGATCCCTGAAACATACAGTCTTTTTCCAAACAACAAGAATCATTCTCACCTTTTGACTTCACTGTTCTCCAAGGACCAGAACTGCCGCCAGGTGTTGTTGATCTTTCCGGCCCTCGAGCCCCTGGCTTGTTTGTTTCATGATGTTCGACAACAGGACACATGTCATATTGAATGGGACAAATTTTATGAATGCCTACACAGATTCCCTTCAAGTTACCAATATTGTCTAAACCATGTAAATGCCTAAATGCTAGAATGCTTTCGTCATCCATCGACTTGCACGACACTCGATCCTCGCTTGCAATCAATGAAAGATTTCTCATTGCCCCATTCCGGATCAAACCTGATGCTGTGACTGCTGTAGGGGAGCTCGAAGCAGCGTGCCCCAAATAATCAGCGCAAGGGCCAACATCGCCAGCAAAATAGGCTGCAGCACCGCCACTCCCTTGGCTTGTGCAATAGCACCGATCATGAAAGGGAAGACGGCTCCTCCACCCATAGAGAACGCGGCTGCGAATCCAATGGCTGCGACATGCAAGTGCTTTGGCAACATCCGAGTTGCAACCACCACAACGCCGGGGAAAATTGTTCCCAAGAAGAACCCAACCAGAGCAACCGCTACAGCGGAGACGATGAACTTGGGAACGAGCCAGAAGATCAGTTCAAGCGCAATGGCCAGCACAATATATACGATAATCGACAGTCGCTCCCCAATGCGAGGTGAGACGAACCCCAATATAAACCGGCCCAGTGTAATGCCGAGCCAGAAGCCTGTTTCGGCCATACCGGATGCAAAGCGACTGCCGTGACGTATACTGGTCATGAATACGACAATCCAACCTCCGATAGCAACCTCGACACCGCCATATAGGAAGAGGAAGATGGCGCAGATCCAGGTGACTCGGTAAGTGAGTGATAGTCTGGTCTGGTTGGGAGATCCCCCTCCATCTCTACCTGGAGTCGACGGGTTGTCCTGTCGGTATTTAGATCCAGTCTCCGTCCAGAAGGCGCTGGTGGCATTAACCAGTTCTAAAACCGCAGCTCCCGTCTTGGATTTCGCATTAGTGGATGCATTCTTCAGGTTACAGAAACCACATGGCCGTCGGCGAGGGCTAATGTACGTACCAGGAGGTAATAGAATGAATTCCATTCCCAGCCAGCTTTTGTGATCAAGGTAGTCGCAATAAGCGGACTGACTGTAGCCCCAACACCATAGAACCCGTGAAAGCATCCGAGAACTTCATGCGAATTGGCCAGACTGCTAATCCACACGTTCCACCCGGCATTCTGGATCCCACTTCCGAGCCCGACGAAGATATACATTATCACCAGCACTGGGAAGGGCGGATTACTCGAGATGACGGCGAAGGCAAGCACGTGACATGCTGGACCAATAAACGCCACACCTCGACGACCGAGACGCTGGTGGATCAGATTACTGAGAACGGCGGAGATGGTGTAGCCCAGAAATGGTGACAGGAAGACTAGGGAAATGACCGTGTAGCTCTTGTCATAAGAGAGCTCGAGCTGGATGATTCATGAGATCTGCATTAGCGTTGTACATGCTTGCTCCGTGTGTGAAACATGGGACAAACGTAAGGGATTATCGCTCCATATGCCGCGTCATTAGACCCCATGACCAGTGCACACCAGAAGGTAGCCGTGACTCTCCAGATCATAGTCTTTGACCCGTTCCATCGCAGGGCGACATTGACTGCATGTAGGGGAGGAGTGTCATCCTCAGATCCGGGGCTCGCTGGGAGGGAGGCCAGGCGTGGTGCAATGCTAGACGAGGCAGACGGTGGACGAGCAAGATTTGGATTTGAAGATATAGTCTCAACTCTAGCCATGGCTCATGATAATCTAGTATCTGTAAGGAAGATTGGGTTTTTTCCCTAGGGATGGTATAGGAGATCTGTGTAACGGAGGATCTACTACACAGCTTAAGAGAAGCCTGTCCACGAGGCAAAGATACGTAAGCAAGAAAGCGGGGAAGTGTCTATCATTAGCTGACTAGTAGAACGAATATACGAGAAGCTGATTCTTGTCCCTTCCCCGGGCCGTGTCTATTGTCATCCTTAATTACCCTAGGATCCTTGCCTATTTAGTAGGTTTCCAGGATCATACAAAGGACTGAATAGTCAGGCCAGGTGGACCGATTGTTGCCTCAGGCCGCGATTGTCCCGCCGCCTGGACTGTCCAGATTCCGATCGTGCAGAGGATCAGATGTCCAAGCGATTCGTTCCTGAACCTCCTTGGTCTCCCCAGTTCTATATATCTTGTAGCCCGTTGACCTACAGCGCGCTGCTGGCATACCGCCGGTCAAATAACGTCACGGTATACCGAAACAGCACACTTATATATATAACGGTACTCAAGAAGCCCTAAAATACATTTTAGCATTGAGTAATGGAGTAGATGTAGAATGAGATATTTTAGAATTCTTTTAATAAATTAGTAAAATCATATATTTATGCGTTATTGAAAGCATAGATCGATAATTCACAAGCAAGCTGCCCATCTCTATGGAGTATACCCTGTATACTCTGCACACCAGGGACCAACAAGACATGAATTATCCCAAGGAGCTCGCTATCTGCAACGCAGAGAATGGCTATCGAAATATTATTGCAGTCTCGCATCTGAACAGCCTTCGGCGTATTCCGTGGGAGAATGATGTAGCCTTCTTCCTTGTCAGCTTCTTAGACCCGGACGCACGAGAGCCAGTCTGCGTGTGCCCACGAGGGCTGTTGAAAAAAGTGATTGCGAAAGCTGAGGTTGCCGGCTATCCCGCTATAGTGGGAAGCATGTTGCATGGCAATCCGCCCTCTTCGTGTATCACTTGAGGAGCTCCGGTTGATATTTTTGCAGCGGAGTGTGAGTTCTCCCATTTCCCGATACCGAGCGATTGTTCAAGCCCGGAACGCGCTGCATCTGCCATCACATCCTTCCTGCAAAACAATTCCATTGACTCGCTACCAGCACTAACAGAGGGTATGTTTGGGTCCTTGATCACCCAGCCGTTGCACAATGAGGATTGTCATGATGTCATTTTAGATGCCTGTGAGCAGTTCCGCTGTGATATTGAGGAATGGCATGCGGAGAGCGGTCCCGGTGCTTTCAAAGCTGTGAGTGATGCTCGTGTCGAGGGAACTGCGACATTGGGTGATATATAATATGCGGATTTGGTATGCTGACTTTGAATGTTACGACAGGCATTGCAGTTTGGTGAGGTCAAGGATATGGCGGATAAGGCTGGCTTATTCAAGTAAGATTCTCTCGTGGGTTCAGATGCCGCATTTCAGCTTCCCAGGCTCACCGTGTCATGTTTGTGTCCACAAGACGATACGTTGTCAAGGCCTTCGGTATCAAGCATGGTATCACACCTTGTTTCATGGCAAAGCCGCGTCATGGGCTACCTGGAAATAGTGGGCACATGCATATTACTCTCGTTACCATGGATGGCAAAGATGCTTTCACTCGCGACACTCCCGATCCCTCTCCTCCGTACCCAGATGTGGCACATTCGTCGGATCTCGGCCGTCAATTTCTCGCCGGTTTACTTACAAGCTTACCGGACATAATGCCGCTCTTTGCGCCCACTATGAATTCCTACAGGCGTCTGGTGGAGGACTTCTGCACTCCTACCACCGTCTCCGGGGGTCTGGAACACCGCGCAGCGTCTATGTGACTGATTACAACACGGACTGTCAATGCGATAGTCGCCCACTTTGAAATCCACGTTCCTGATGCAGATGCTAATCCACACTTTGGGCTTGCCGCAATCATAGCCCTCGGCGGGCGTGGCGTAGAGAAGAAGCTCGAAATTCCTGTGCCACCGTTGTCCAAGGGCGAGAATATGAGCGGCGCGAGCAACAAGGGTGTGCGATTGGCTAAGTCATTGAAAAAGCAGTCGAACTAGAAATATCTCATTTGTATCTCAGTCAATTGACATATGCCCGAGGGTGTTACGCCTGTGTTTAAAGTGATTGGAAATCCCAATCTCCTGTACCATGAGTGTCCTGCGACAACCAGAGGGAGAACGCCATTGAACTCACCCGATGTGTGGGGGTTAGCGGAGAATGACAACATTGAGTGCATGAAAATAATTAAAATCCTAAATGCAATGTAAGGCGACTTCATGTTGGCAATACTAAGATTCAGTACTGATTGTATAGTAACTACGTTCCGAATCTTGCTCGATTCCATGGAAAAGGCACAACTTACTTTTGCTTGTCCTCAAACGCGATTTGCGGGACGGGCTTTGGACCCAACCACATGTCCACGATGGCCGAACTTAAGCGAGTCTGCACGGCCTGGATTGCAGTTCCATTTGATCAGGAGATCAGTACCAAGGATGAGGATCGTCCTGCGACCTCTTACATGTGTGGATGGTGAATCAGTCGACATGAATTCCGACGCGACATCTCGCCTTGTGATCCAGAAGCAATCGGCGTCGGGGCCCCATTTCCACCGGTAAAGGACACCTTATGGGCCTAGACTAACATAGAGAGATATAAGTAGGTATGACCTTTTCATTATTTCGCCTAGGTTGATACTTTCAGACGTATCTTGGATTTATGACCTAACAAACTGGGGAACTCAATAAATCCCTCTAGTACCCAATCGAATCCTCTCACAATGCCAGTTGAGAACTACGGAGTATGGAAGGCAAAGCCTGTCCGTTTCACTTATGAAACCGATGCCCAAGACCATGTGTCTCCTCATTTATCGCTGTTTTTTACTACCAGTGACAACAGGCAGGGGGAAGGTCGCGCAGCGATAAACATCAAGTCTGGGGATAAGAGTGACTCTAGATTAGTGTTTTGGTTAGTCAAGGATTTCGAAAACTTTCAGAATGAGCGACTTCGGGAGTTGAAGCCAGGGTTTAACCGGCTGGAAGGCACCATGGAGCAAGCGTCCAGCGGCCTTGCACTGGATTATATTCGAGGGAATTTGTTCCACCGAGAAAGAGGCCGACTCCTCCCCCATGACACCCCTGGGCCTGACAATGATATATTGGATGAACTGATCCCGGTGCTGGATGCTGCGGTCGACAACGACAGCGTGATCTACATCTATGGGTCGCATTTCAGCAATGGCAACGGTATCCATAATGTTCACATGAACCAAGGAAGCCCTAGGAAGTGGAAGCACGACAATGGGATCTACCAGGATGGGGCCATCTTGCTGGACTTTGGGGATCACTGGGAGGGGGTGTTTATTGGATTCGCGTCACAGGCTGTGCATACTGACGCCGAAGGTCAGCCTACTCCCTCACGCGGATATCTGACTTGGAATGAGCTGTTGAACCCTGAAATCCCGGGGGAGCAACGGAAAAAGCGCGACGTGAATGATCGGACCGTTACTATCAGCGAGGCCGTTATCCACCACCATGGACCACCGCCAACAACCAAACCCGACATGATCACTCTGACGAACCGCGGAGACTCGCCCGTGGTACTCAGTGGCTGGAGCGTTCGGAATCACAAAGGCGACAATGAATACCTGCCCGATGGTGCTGTCTTACGTCGAAGACGTCGCCACAGCTTTCAGCTGCATAACTGCGCGCTCTCCGATGAGGGTGGTACAATCACACTCTTAAATGAGCAGGGGCTCAAGGTAGACGGCGTGCGATATACGGGTGCCCAAACGGGCCCTCTCCATGTTGTCTCGTTTTAAGTTCAAGAGGGGTTAATGATGGGTGTCCCAGGTGATGCTATGGGAATTCCTTTATATTATCTTTTCTTATTGCCATTTTGGGGGGGTTTCTTTATTTCTAATTCTGCTTTTTACTTGACATAATCATATTCCGTGACTGTTGTTTGAGGCATTGATTTTGTGGTTTGGTGAAAATACTCTGGCTATATTAGGGTAATTTTTCTAGTGCTAAGTCACGTTGATTTTGGTGAACAAATTCACTGTAAGCTTAACGGACTAAATAAAATAAATAATTTAATATTGCCGTGTGGTCAATCGCTTACTCTCTCTCTAGTCAGCCAAGATGGTCCGATATGGCAACTCAACTATCCGAGAGAGATGCTCGGGACCCGCGGAGTCCGAGGCAGATTCTCCCCCCAGAAGCCACAACATATAAGAAGTAATAGCCGACAACCCTATAGGAGAAGAAGTATACTAAGTATTATACGTGAGAGATTTGATTGGTGTACCTGAACCGTGTCGCTGCTCTCTCTCTCTCTAACAAACAAGGTTGCATTAGTCGCGTCACCATGATCCCTCACCAGTATTATCCCACCACTATACATCTCCCTCACTTTACCACCAATGAGACATCGGTGGTCTCCCTGATCGCCCAATTTGGCTTCTTATGGGCTGCAGTCTTGGGGACTGCGTTTCTAATCATACGACGCGTGCGACCGAACGCAAGTCGGTCGGATAAATTGGCCTTTGTGTGGATGTGCTTGAGTATGTTGCATGACCTTGCCAACTCTTTTGAAAAAATACTCACCAAGACGATCAATGTAGCGGGATTCATCCATTTATTTTTCGAGGCCTACTTTGTCATTCATCATGAGACCCTTGCAGGCTCACAGGAACTATTCGGCCAGCTCTGGAAGGAGTACTCCCTGTCAGACTCCCGCTATCTGACGTCGGACGCATTCCTTGTGACCATGGAGACTGTAACTGCTGTAAGTGGACCTGATTGGACCAATGGACATTAATATATGCTAATAGTCCTGCCCAACAGTTCTGCTGGGGACCCCTAGCCTTCTTTATCGCCTACTGCATCGCAGTGCAGCATCCTGCACGTCATGCACTCCAACTACTGCTCTCTGTCGGTCAGGTCTATGGCGACGTCCTCTACTACGCCACTAGTCTGTTTGACCTTTACTTCCACGGGGAAACCTTCTGTCGGCCCGAGGGCTACTACTTCTGGTTTTATTACTTTTTCTTCAACTTCATTTGGATGTTCATCGGCTCCTGTGAGTATCTGCCCGATTGTCAAAGAGGAATTGGCTGACTCCTCCCAGATTACGTGAAACAGAGTGTTGGGGAGATATATAAAGCTTTCAAGAAGGTGCAAGGGTTGGATTCATCGCGGAAAAGAAATTAATTCGGGGAGTACATGTTAATTGGAATTAGTCGATCTTCTCCAGAACAGGAAGACCCTGTTGTTTGGTCCGTGAAGAGTATTCTCAACCTTCCTTCACCAAAACACTATTGATTATAGTAGAGAATTCATTTATTTTAAATGTTGGTGGCATACTGTATGGTATTGATTAGATACACCTAATCTATTGGTTCTTCGAATATCCCAGCCTCCGGACTCCGGAGGGCATACAATGATGGACGTTGTTTATCGCCCCGCTTCAAACCTCCGGGGTTCTTCCGACCAAATCGGATACTAAGCCCGGTTAATACAGCACGTATAGGATGCTGAGACGATCCGGCGGTCTAGTATTTTTCAGGGGAAGGCAATCATTTGGAAACGGTGATCGGCCCGATCGGAGGCAGGCGGATACAATTAGGCTATGCTATCCGGCTGGATATTACGCGGAGCTTGTACCTGTTAAGCTTGGAATGCCCAGAAAAAACAAGCCCTTAATGGTTGAAGATAGGAATCCACGGTGTCACGCTATTCTATGTCAAGTGGGGCCTTGCATGATATGCCACCATTCGGCTCTCTGGGACGTGGACGAGCCAAGTTATGACTTCCCGTCTTGCACATGTTATTCTGCACCAGCCAACAATTACAACAAGGCGTCAGGGATGCCAGTTGTCTCATGCATCATGGAGTCGCTCGTCAGGCGGACCGACATATTTCGCTCTGTAATCTTTCTCGCCCCCTATACCGTTTGAATTGTCAGTAGGCGGTGCAAACAATTTTAGATTTCCAACTGCACGCTAGAACTCAACACCGGTGGACCGGTGGAATTACGTGCATGTCACTGGTCAAGAAGGAGAAAGCGAGTCAGCCTCTTCAGCCTTCTCTGGTGAGCATGGATCTCCATCTGCCACTGAGACAAGCCTCGCAAGCAGCGACCCCACAAGGCGGAGTTCCGACGGGGAAGAGCACTAAACTAGCCGTAACATATATCGGGGGCCATAGTTGTAAAATCACTATACATATTATGAGACTGAACATTGTATAAAGGCGTGCAGCTGCCATGATATCCCCGATATGATTCTTCAGGCTTCTCGGTCTGTGGAAATCTCAGATATCAGGTCCACACAATGCGGTCTCATCTTTCTTTTTTGCACGGGTTTCTGCTCGGCCTGTCAGCCCTCTCGGCTGCTACCTCAGTAGTCCACGAGAGACGTGAAGTTACATCCTCGAACTGGGTCAAGCGGGCGCGTGTGAGCCCATCGGACAAGCATGTGGTTCGCATTGGCTTAGCCCAGAGTAACCTCGAGGAGGCTCACGACCTGCTGATGGATGTGTACGTGAAGGGCTGTTGTTTCGCATGTTAAGGGTATACTCTGCTCTAACGTACCGCTTCTAGGTCAAACCCGAGCTCTCCCAACTATGCCAAGTTCTATTCAGCAGACGAAGTTGCAGCAAAGTTCGCCCCGTCGACACAAACAGTCAACGAGGTCCAGAACTGGCTCACCGAAAAGGGAATCAATGCCAGCCGCGTCGCCCAAACCAAGAACCACGGCTGGCTTGTATTCCACGCCACGTCGAAGGAAATCGAGGACTTGTTCGACACCACATACTATGAGTACCACAATAGGAAAACTGGAAAGAAAGCCATCGCTTGCGAACAGTGAGGTTTACCTGTTTGAGTTGTTTCGGAGGTCGTGACTCACACGATACGCAGGTACCATGTCCCGGCTTCGGTGCAAAAGCATATCGACTATGTGCACCCTGGCATCAATCTGAACCCATCGTCGGGCAAAGCATCCAGTATCCGTCGAAGGGGCTCTGCGAGCAGGAAGACGAAGCTCCCTGCTCATGGAGGACGCCCGATCCACCAACACGATGTCAAAGGCGTGAATGTCACTAACTGCGATGTGTCAATCACGCCAGACTGCATTCGGGCATTGTATAAGATCCCCTCAGCGCGTGCGGCGCCTCACCCAAATAATTCCTTGGGTATTTTCGAGGAAGGGGACTACTATGCCCAGGAGGACCTTGACCTGTTCTTCAAGACATTTGCCAAGAATATCCCTAAAGGCACTCACCCAATCCCCGCCTTCATCGACGGTGCGGAGGCTCCGGTACCCGTCGGCGAGGCTGGTGGAGAGTCTGATCTCGACTTCGAACTGGCATATCCCATCGTGCATCCGCAAAGCATCACGTTGTACCAGACCGATGATGCCAACTGGGCTAGCAACACCACGGGGTTCCTGAACACGTTCTTGGACGCACTTGACGGCGTGAGTTGAAATTGGGTCACCATACTTCCCTGGTCAGTATCGCTAATGTGCCGGAATATACAGTCTTACTGCACCTACTGCGCGTACGGCGAATGTGGCAATGACCCATCTCTGGATCCAGTTTATCCCGACGACGGTGGCTACGATGGAAAGCTCATGTGTGGCGTGTTTAAGCCCACGAACGTCATCAGTGTATCGTACGGCGAACAAGAGGTTGATCTTCCCGCAAACTATCAGCAGAGGCAATGCAATGAGTAAGTCATGACTGCTACTGTTCCACGCAGTTTCTCTATTCAACGCTAACCATCATCTAGGTTCCTGAAGCTTGGTTTGCAAGGTGTCTCAGTGCTCTTCGCCTCCGGAGATAACGGTGTTGCAGGACCTCCAGGAGATCATGGTAGCGTCAATGGCTGTCTGAATAATGGAACGGTTTTCAGCCCTGCATTCCCCAACAGGTAAAGAGACATCGACTGCTGGTAATAGACCTCATACACTAACGAATGAAGCTGCCCCTATATCACCAACGTTGGTGCCACCAAAGTTTACCCGGGATACACAGTTTCCCAGCCCGAGAGTGCCGTGTACGATCCGGATGGAATATACAGCTATGCTTCCGGGGGTGGCTTCAGCAACATCTACCCTATCCCCGACTACCAGGCGGATGCCGTTGCCACGTGCGTCTTCTGAATCATGATAGAGATGTCTCTTACTGATATTATGTGCAGGTACTTCAAGGACCACAACCCTCCCTACCCTTACTACGAAGGCGCCGAAAACCTCGGCAAGAATGGTGGTCTGTACAACCGCTTGGGTCGAGGCTATCCGGATGTAGCCGCGAATGGCGACAACATTGCGGTATTCGTTGGCGGCGAGTCCGGTTCATCGGGCGGAACCAGTGCGAGTATGTTATGTTTGCGCGGTCGCGTCGGATTCGAAATGAAATCTTGCAGCTACTAACCTGTGGTCTGTTCAACTAGGCACTCCGATCTTTGCTGCCATCATCAACCGCATTATCGACGAACGTCTTGCCGTCGGTAAGGGTCCGGTTGGCTTTATCAATCCGGTGCTCTACAAGAACCCCTCCGTCCTGAATGATATCACCAATGGTACAAATCCAGGATGTGGAACAGACGGTTTCTCAACTGCACCTGGGTAAGTAGTTCAAACTTTTACTGCGTTCCATCGCCAGCTTGCTGATTCGCGACCTTTCAGATGGGACCCTGCCACCGGTCTGGGAACACCTAACTATCCCAAGATGTTAAAGTTGTGGCTTGATCTCCCTTAGGCGATATGTTGAAAGCTGGTTGGACGGTGTTCCCCGAAATGAATGGTAAGGTGATGTTTCGGGATGCATCTTGATAGATATCCAGCTTGGCCTGTATTTATGCTTCTATCTGTTAATGTTTATAACTTTGACGAGAAGGCCCCAAGGACCACCAGTTCATGGTATGTTCTTACCTCGTAGCATTCAAGATGTATAATCAGACTTTGTTGTTACCGTTCATATCCTGGTTGGGGATTCTTCGCTGTGCATGTTAAAGAACTAGTAAATAGCGACCGAGCGCACCCTGTGAAGACCATAATTTGGAATCGACAAACATGATGATTTCCCAGTGCTTGGTTTCAAGCACGCTATGGTCGAAGCACGGATCGAGTACTAACTTTAATCGCCATCGGTGGTGGATTGACAAAAGGTCCCGGGGTGGAATGAATATGAATCCCACCAATGGTCAAGAAGCATCATTCTCAGCTCTTGTCTAACGTTCGGCACACTCCATCATGTTACTTACTGGTGGAAACGTCCAACTTTCCTTGCAAACTGCCCAGATTTACCTGCTTGCCTGATTTGTATGTGGCTACGATGGCCCCTGAGCAGCAGAGCACAGCCCACCAACTAGGATTGCCATGGAAATAAGGACAGAGTGGGTTAGGACCAATGTCAGGGACATCTGTAACACGGCCACCTAAGCTGCCAGCTCAGCTGGTCGATCGCAAAGCTTTCCGAGGTAGTAGACTCATTCAAGATCAACACAAATGCTATTACATGTTGTATTAGCACAAGGATTGGCTATGCGACGCAAAACCAGGAAAGAGATTGTGTGTGGTCTATTTCGTGAGGCGACTGGAGATCTCACCTGTGACAAGGATCGTGGTCATCAGAGGTCCAACAACCCACTGCCCACAGGCACAAGCACACTGTGTCGGTGCTAATTTTGATGTCTGTGGACACAGGCTCAGGGACTGGTCCCATCTGAGTGATATATGAAATTCGTGGAAGTCATGAGGGTGAAGAGCCAGATCAACAAATTTCATCAGCATGAACCGGTAATAACCCAGCCAACTAGAGACAAGACGATGGTAACGACGATGTATTTTTGTGCTTACAGACCTGCCACGCGGGTGTCACCAAGTTTGTGCGTGAAGTTGTGCAAGAAAACCCCAAGTGACATGCGACGTCTCAGATGATGGCTAACCCTGGATGTCAAGGGATAACCTCCTTGTGTCAGCACTGCCCCCTGGAGGTCCAGCCATTGTGTGTATAGCCAGAAAGGAGAAACACAAGTGTCCCAGGACAAATACTGCCAATTTTGGTCGTGTTTAGGCTGTCATCGCACAAGTTGGTAGCAAAGAAGTTCGGCAAGGGACGATATCCCATCCAGTGGCCGCAATTATTGGCACCGAAACCAATGGTGTTCTAGCGCCCTACCTTGTGATGTGCTTGAGCAGAAACTTGCGCATCAACGGCGCAGGGGGAAGCCTCCACCAACTAGCCCTGTTTGTCTGATAGTTCGGTTATCTCCCTGTCCCCCTTGGGCGATTGCCGAGCCCGTATTGACTCGTGTATCGCAGTTGGGCTTGGCGCATTCAAATATGTGGTCACGTTGGATCAAAAGGCCAGACTAAAATAACATAAATACTTCATATCTTAGAGCTCCTGAGATTGGTATGGTACCTAAATTGGACCTGCCGAGCAAAATACCAACGAAAAATGGTCAGAAAATAGAATTGGTCAATTTATTTGTTGACAAAAGTTCGAAGGGATGTTGACATGACTCGACCCCACAACTCCCTTCGCTTGAGGTCGACTCCATCTTGAAGTGGGGAAAAAGAGGCTGGAGCAAATGAGAATATAATCTATTATTATTAGTTTCAAACTTAGGAACGCAAGGGGGGGAAAGTCAAAAGACTCGTATGTCCATGCGAACAATGCGATCTGTCAGTTTGACACAAATTTCCCGACTGAAGAGAAACAGAGAAAAAGGACAGTGTTTTGTCAATTTCGGGGTTCCGTTACCGTCCGCCTTCCTGCGCGCTTCTGATTGGCGGCCATCCGTACCGGGGCGTAAGGAGTCCTGAGCCCTGACCACCAGCCCTAATCTCATCCCTTGGAGATGGAACGACCCTCAACACAGTCTCTATTGCGATCTGTCGATGATCGCTCATATCAACCGATACACGGAGCGAACACCAAGGTTGGCACCCTGCAGCTTTGGATAGAGCGCACCCGTTTCACAACGCTCCCCGGCAGGTTTTACGCGTGTCAGTGTACCACTGAGGATAAGACGAACCGGATCTGTCGGCTGGGAAAAGTTGATGTATCCAACCGCCGCCATTCCTCGCCCAAAGCTTATCGGGGCTATGACTCCATCGGAAGCAAGGTTGGTACCTGTCAAGGTTGCAAGGGCCTTGGAAGGCGCTCGGCAACTGAGATCCTTGTCTTTGATTCCCAAGGCTGTGATGAACACCCCACAACGCTCGCCCTTGCCAGGGATGGATGGACTCGGTGCATGGATACCCCTCATGAGAACCACATGGCTAGTAAACGATGTTGATCGATGCACGTAAATGGATCCTCCTGGACTTGGCCTATCTATTGCTTACACTATTAATTCGGCGCTCAATGTGATGAATCGGCGTTCCCTCCCCACAGGTACTTATTGACTTTTTATTTTCGGACGCCCTAGACATGAAGAACATGACATATACGGGTGTCGATGCGCGAACTCCCTGTCCAACCTTCGAACGTAGGGAGTATTTATTAACCCGTCGACGGACCGCGCGAGACGGTGATTCCAAATACTCGAAGCCACAACCTTCATCTACCTGCCGTTAGGATTTGCTTCCAGTGCATGCCCATCTCGGTTTCCTATTCCCGTGTTAGACGGATTACCTGTCATGTCTCAGCAACCAATGCCAGACGATGGCGTCCCCGGGGATTTCGAACACCCCAATCAGAATCTACGCCGGTCCATCATCATCGCGCTCTACTTTGCCTTTATCCTGTCCACAACGGCTGTCGCTCTCCGGCTTCTAGCGAGGAAGTTAAACGGCACCCGACTATACTTGGATGATTATCTGATTTTGATCGCTCTTGTATGCAACCGTACCTTCTGGAAGCTTCTTTATCCGGCTCCTCGCTAATTTCTGCCGTAGCTTTTTAAATATGGATGCTCAATCGGAGTTACAATCTGTAGGTGGCCAGTTGATGCCATCCCTTCATCGGCATGCACGTGTTCAGGTGGCTAATCTGATGCCAGTACTTTTCAACGGGCTGGGCTCCCACATCACGATGATTCCCCAGAAGAATCTCACAGTGTATCTGAAGGTTTGCGTCTCCAGTTTTTTGTGCACGGCGATCCACTTACTAATTAAATCAGATTGGATGGTCCAATCCCTTGGTTTACACCAGCTGCATCGCCTTTATTAAACTATCCGTCCTCGCCCTTTATAAGCGCTTGTTCTCCACTCCGCGTATGATTCTCGCCGCCAATATCGTCGCCGGTTTCGTCATCCTCTGGGCCCTGACCGTTTGTGTGGTGGGGATCTTGTTGTGTCTTCCGGTCAACAAGTTTTGGGACCCAACGGTGCCCGGATCCTGTCTCGACTCCGCCCAATATTACTATGGCCAGCAAATCCCCAACATCTTGACCGATGTGGTTCTTCTCATCATGCCCTTGAAATGCGTATGGGCACTGCCAATCTCTAGGACCCAGAGAGTGCTGCTCTCCGGGGTGTTTGTCACTGGTGGTTTGTCAGTACTCCTCCTTGGCTCTATCCGGGAAATCAATATCTAACCCTCCATGCTCAGAACCCTGATTTTCGACATCGTCCGCCTCGTCGCCATGATCAACCTTACACGCTCCGGTCCTGACGTTACGTGTAAGTATCCACAGTTAAACCAGCCACGGTCATATCCACCTGAATCTTTGCTCACCACTCGACCAATAACAGACAACCAAGTTCCCGTCGTGGTATGGACATGCATCGAAGCAACCGTGGGGATTATCGCCGCCTGCCTCCCTAACCTCAAACCACTCTTCAAACTCAGCCAGGGCAGTTTCTGGTCCCAGCTGCGATCTGGCACTGGGCACTCCAATCAGCCTCTCAATCCGCCGTCGCAGGATCTCTCCATGGAAGAGAGCAACTATGACCCTTATTTTACCCAGACTAACATTTATGCCCGACACAGCGTCTCCATTCATTATAGCAAGCCTTGAGGACTTTGCGTTTTGTTATCTTTCCTTTGTTCATCGCATTGACTGGAATAGCCCCTTGCCAGTCAGGATATCAGCCTTTTACAACCCAACTCTGAACATAATCATTTATAATTTGTGTATAAAAGTTCGTTGTCGCGAGACAAAAAAAAACCCAGGAAGGACATCTCTTGTATGTACATAGCCAATTGAGCCATGAATACCTTCTGGACAAAGTGTTGGCTTGGGGGAGGGAATGTTTCTCGGGTTTGTAGTTTTCTACTTTTATGAAGTGTAAGCAGAGCCACGTAAATATGTCAGCCCACGTGAAACATACTATGAATGAAAATATGATATAAGAATAAAAGTAAACTATTTATTGAATACCAACAGGAACCAGGAACTTCATACAAAATAATTGCGTATTAATTTTGTTCAATATTTGAACGCAGATTGGGTACGTCATTCCGATGTCACTTTAATGTCATTTCAATAACGGTAGATATAAAAAAGGACATAAAATATCGAATTATCAGCAAAATTCATTGACAAAAATACACCTACTGGTTCAAGACTGTCGAACTCTAGCAGATTACACCTATTAAACATGCCTGACAAAAAAGTCCTCATCATCCTCAGCGACGCTGACTCCTTCCCGCTAAAGAAAACCAGCGGCTTAGATGCCGGCCAAGTCGTCGACCAACCCACCGGCTTCTTCCTCATGGAACTGGCTAAACCACTCCAGAAACTCCTCGACTCCGGGTACGAAGTCACCTTTGCCTCTCCCAAGGGCCAAGAACCGACACCCGATCCCAACAGCGAGTCACTCCTCGCCTTCGCGGGCAACTTCTACGAACGCCGGCGAGAGAACGACCTGATTGAGCGCATGAAGCGGGAGAACGGATTCAGTCACCCGCGCACGTTCAGTTCCATTAGCGATGACGAGTTGGATTCATTTGCGGGCGTGTTCATCCCGGGTGGACATGCGCCGTTGAGGGATCTGGGCGCTGATAAGGATCTCGGTCGCATTCTGAGATATTTCCATGCCAAGAGTCGTCCCACGGCTGCTATTTGTCATGGGCCGTTTGCGTTTTTGAGTACCAAGTATGCTGGGGATGGCGACTTTGCCTATACGGGGTATAAGATTACCTCTTGGAGTGATGCGGAGGAGAGGGTGATGGAGATGGTGATGGGTGGGGAGGTCGAGAAAGTCGAATCTGACCTTCGCAATGAAGGCGCCATTATGATCGAAGGCGCAAAGGAGAAGATTGGCAGTGTTACGGTCGATCGCGAACTTGTTACGGGCGCAAATCCTACTGCTGCCAATGCTTTAGGAGACCAGTTTTTGCAAATGCTGGGTGTACATTGAGTTGCTAAGTTGGGGTGATTGTATTGAGAATTGTATATCAGCATCGCATTTAACGAGATCCACTACTATGACCTTTATGCTATGCAATTCAGCTGTTGAAACGAAATAGCAGATGCCACGATAGTCCAATAGAGCATAAAATGACTATATTATCTCTACTATTCTTGGTATTGTGAACCTTGATCTTGTCCATACGACATGCGGGGCGATCACCGGCTCCAACATCCGAGCCGAGGTTGAAAGTAACCCACAGGCAAGGCTACGATGTAATCTACACCATTTATATCTCCAATAACTAGACATCTACAACCCTGAGATTAACACTCTTCCAAAATGGAAGCCAAGTCATTCAAAACGATACTCTACGAAAAGTCCCCAGGCGGCAAAATCGCATATATAACCCTGAACCGTCCCGACCGATTCAATGCAATCGACGGACACCTCCCAAGGGATCTCCGGGGTGCTGTCAAACTAGCGAACGCAGACCCTACCGTACACTGCATCATCCTGAAAGGGAACGGGCCCGGATTCTGCGGTGGCTATGATCTGGACATCTACTCCCAGAACGCGATACGTGGAGAGACGGCTGGATCACAGGATCTCTCCAAGGGATACGATCCCTTGATTGACTACGCTATGATGAAAGAAAATACCGACTGCTTCTCGGAACTGTTTCATAGCCACAAACCGACTATTGCCCAGGTGCATGGTGCTGCGGTGGCGGGTGGAAGTGATATCGCCCTGTGTTGTGATCTGGTCATCATGGCGAGTAATGCAAGAATCGGCTATCCCCCGAGTCGGGTTTGGGGTTGTCCGACCACCGCTATGTGGGCTTATCGGATTGGTGTTGAAAAGGCTAAGCGGATGTTATTCACTGGAGACTTGATTAGTGGAGCAGAAGCAGCGGAGATGGGACTTGTCCTTAAAGCGGTGCCCGAGGGAGAGTTAGAGGAAACGGTAACATTGCTTGCAAACCGTATTGCGTCGGTTCCACAGAATCAATTATGGATGCAAAAGCAGGTGATAAATGGTCTTATTGAGGGGCCTCTGCTCAGAAGCCAGAAACTCTCTACGATATTCGACGGGATTACCCGCAATTCGCCTGAAGGTGTTGCATTCCAGGAGCTGAGCAAGGACAAAGGATTCAAAGCTGCTATACAGGAGCGCGATAGTCCGGCGAGATCGGAGAGGTATCGGAAGGTGTGGAAGAGTGTGCTATAACGGTCTTAATGGGTGCAGGCAACTATATTGAAATAAATACGTATCGTGTCGTTCGTTATTGCTCTATCATTTCTAACTCAGGACTCACGAGTCATCGGATGCTTTATATTCAGCTGAGATATCTATGTATAGCAAGACAATTCTATGTATAATGTTCAGTGACCAAGATAACAACAAGGCTAGATACCTAGAATTGACGGTCGCTGGTGAGTCCGGCGTCAAATGCGTGGATGGAAACCGGCCTTTGGGCGAAGCAGAGTTTGCTGGGTCATACTAGCCAGCAGACGACCATTCTCATCCCATACGCGCCCTTCACTAAAGGCCCTAGCATTTCCAGCCACAGACGTCGTTGCTTCCGACAGATGCCACCGTCGCAGATCGATCTCATGCGTGAACAATCGAAGCGAAAAGTCAAGACTGGCGCAAGCACTGGCTTCGGTCAGTGGATAACCACTGTGATTCGCCGGTATATAAGCCAGGCCTTTGTCCATATAAAAAGCCAATGCCGATATCTGTTCAGCCTCACTTCTCAGGGGCGTCTGTGCGCGGAATCTTTCCGCCGAGAATTTCGACGGTGCAGAGGAAGAGCTTTTCCGCTCCTCAACTTCCTCGTTTGTGCTGGCCGCAAGAGTCACCGGCTGCATATCCAAAAACCGCTCGATATTTTGGTATAGTCCATGTTCAGTTGGTGTCTGCGCGGCTGTGAGCGAGATAACGGTGTCGCTAAGCGGCAGCTTAGTCTGTGGAAGTGTTGAATATATCACCATGGAGCGTGGTTCTTCGATATGGAAATCCGCCGACGCGATGAAACAGAGCTGAGCCGAGCCATCGTCTGCCTCCTGGCTCACTCGGATAATCCGAGTCTGAAAGGTACGAGTCTCTCTGACTCTTTCGATTTGGCAGATGAGTCTGCGATCTGTTTTCGCGGCACGGACGAAATGCCCACAGATTGAGTACAGGTGGAATGAGGATTGAACCGTTTGATAAGCGGCGTTGACCGCTACAGCTAGCGTATTTCCTCCATATGCATACGAAGCCAGGACGCCCATACTTGTTGGCGGCATGACCGACCCGTACAAGTTGGGCCCTAGTGCCTCGACCGCTATTTGTTGATTGAAAGTGATCATGGTGCGTTGATAACTGTGTTCCTGATTGGGAGGCAAAACAAAAGTAACAATCGAGCGACAAGATATAACGAGAGAACGCGAGGTCTTATGCTGGCAGAAACGTTAACCAGAGGGATTCAACCTACTATGATCTCGGGTCCACCTTTATATAATGTCATTGTGGAGCAATAAGTCGATGTCCCGAGGCAAGAAGTTATTGGGTCCTTAAAGTCTTAGTTTCCATGTTTAAAAGAGACCTCAAATCTAGTACGGTCATATTCTCATTTACATCAACACAAAATCATGGTCAAGTTCAATCAGACACGACTCGTCGTATTAGCAAATCGTACAGCTACAACATTGTGCCACTCTTCTCATATGCACCTGATGAGATATGGTATTGATCTACTTCAGAGAGTGCAATAGTATTCCCGTATATGCCGCCGCTATTGGTTCTCTTCTCAAGGCCACGTGTTAGGGCTCCATACCCGACAGCGGCCCGAGATATTGTAATCTGGGGTCAGAAGCTTGTGTAAATTCCACGTGGGATTTATTCTATCCATGCCGTCCGATGTTAGCTCTCGGGAAAGCCAAACTATTGACCTACGCATAAGAGATAAGAGATATGGTGCATTGGCTCGTGGACATGCACCATCACATCCTACCGAAGATTGTGGCTACCAGACAACGGCACATGGATTTGATTTCTTGCTCAAGCTACGTCCTCGAGGTGACGCGCTCTTCCTTTAAATTCATATGCGCACGGAGATATAAAACATCATTGTCGTTTTTCAGGCGGCTACTAACATACCCCGTGGAACCTGCCGATAAAGGAAAAATACAAGGCTCGTCATCACCGGTATGTGGCATAAGCTTTCATTCCCTCCATCATCTGGCGTTTTGACAAACCCTGTGTAGCGCCGAAGCTATTTGCCTTAGGCAGTAGCCCGCCATTTTTTATCTGTAGATATAATAGGTTGGTAGAGACTCGGGAGTTGCTGTCTTGTTAGGGCCCAGTACTTGTTGTGAGGAATCACATAGAATGGGCGGGGGTTCAGTATAAATTGAAGCTGCCATATCGACGGTGTAGGTAGAAGTTGGTGAACCAAGTTTTCTGTCGCACCCTGTGATCTTCCTATCATATTTCAGACTGGTTCCAGTGGTTCATGTGTGGGGGACTATGACGGAGTTCGTTAAAATGATTAGATGCTTGCCGACTTGGTAATATCCTTTAATTTTGGACGTCGCCTCAAGATCCCTTCTGAATACAGTAGCTTAATTCAGTAGGAGGATGCTCAGGGGCGTGGATTCTGTGTGGTACATCTAGGTTTTTTAAAAATCCTTAGTAGTGAAATATGTGGCTTGATTATTGTATGTACGTTTTCCTTCTCCCTCGTATTTCTGTTTCGTGGTATTTTGTTATTGCACGCCACCCTACAACGTTAAAGTATGACATAGATTATCCAACGGTATAGAACTTCTATAATTCATATATATATATGTCTAACATGTCTAGAATAATTACCTAATTCAAACCCCGGTTTCTCCCAACACCGGAGGGGTGAGGCAAATATGTTGCGAACTGTTGCGGCTAAAAGGGCCCAGTGTGGAGAGCAATAATTTACGTACAGTAGTCATTGGCTTCTTGCAGCCACTAAAGTTACTGACGCCACGGAATGACGATCATGGTGGTTCCAATAATTGACCCCCTGCTAGGCTCAATGTGCCATTAGAGTAAGTCTTAATATTACGAAGCGTTCGTTAGCTCTCACACGTGAGCCAATCGTCGGGCAGCCGCAACGCCAAGATATCGAGATGCAGTCACGAACAAATATATTGTTCTTCGTTCATCACAGCGCCACAATGGATAACACTAACAATGCTGCAATGCCACTGATCAGTTGCATGAGGCGTGAAGACTAGTCCCAATTGATACACCTCAGATCACTACCAACTACTTGGTATAGTGTGCCAAAAGTACCGTCCGCATCACCACGGCCGATTGTATGGCCCATGCATCATTCGTATAATCCTTCCTATTTAAATATTAGCAATATCACTTTCCTGTCATTTCCTGTTACAATATTATCCTTTCATCTTATGACAGCTACTTGGCCTTTGCTGATTATCTGGTAAACCACACGAAAGATCCTCCATTTACAATGTCCCACTCGATCGGAAACCTGTATGCTCTTCCTTCTGCTCATCGAGGGTGTTCTGTAAAATCTAATACTCTCATATAACAGACTGTCCGCCTCTGGTGATCAACAGAGAAAGTCCGCAGCTGCGGCAGCATATCTCACATCTGTCAGTCTTGGATACTACTGGTTTATATGTTAGCAATTACATCACGCTGACCTTCATCATAGCTATCCGAGCTCAGTGAAGCCCTGTCCCATTTAATAGAGCAACTCTCGCATGGCGTGCACGAGGCGGCAGTGAGGGGCGAAATAAATCTTGATGGCGCAACGACCCTTGAATATATCGACAACGCTATACGACTTCAAGCAGAAATCACGGATACAATGCAGAGCCTACTGAGCAGTCTCACATGCCCACGTATACATTATGGGGGAAATGTGGTGTTTGAAATTAAAAGCAGGCTGTAGGAAGACAGGTGTTTGGAGGCTTAGCGGTAATATAGCGATTTTTCATCCAAAGTATACAGTACATCTTCAATACCAAATGATTCCCAAGTGTTCCAAGAAGTTTACTGTCTACTATGCTGAGATCCACCCACAAGATAAGACCGGTTTCCGATGAATGCAGAGTAACATGGCCACATCGAAGTTAACCGGGTCACAACATCAATGACGGTAGCCTTATGGTTGATATCTATGTCGTCTAGGTAGAGGCTCTAGCCCCTCAGACTTAGAATTTAGAGTATCACAATTCGGATTAGTTCCGAAGTAAGAATCCAGCATGCAAACCTTATCTTCGTGACATATGAACTATAGCGCTAGTGACAACAGAGTTCGTATCTTTGTTGGATGGTTGTTTTGCCCTATGATAGATAGATCCACTAGACTGTTTTTGAATTGTTTAGATCAGAAAGCTGGTGAGTTCAGGAGTCTGACCGCTGGTTCTGAACCGTGACAGATGTCTCTGGCTTGGATGTCAAGTCAACAGAATCGATCTGCACTGCAAGGCATTTCATCTCATTTCTCCTCTCCATGCACATACCTGGGCAATTTAGCTAGTAGTGGTCCTAGACTGTGCCTAGTTAGGGAATCTAGCAGAATTCTCCTGGTCTAGACTTGTTCGTGGGTGACACAGGTGTGGATCTGGATACTGACAAGGCATCTGCGGCCTCCTCGGATGTGCGCATCACCCGAGATTGACAGTAGCCTCCGTCCATAGATTCGTGTCTGGCAGTTCTCCTGCGCTTGGACCCACAAAAGTGTTATGCAAGGAAATGTCCGTGCGTATTTTGGTGTCTGAATTGGATGGCAGGGGGACTTTCGTCGGACAAATCAGAGGCTCATCTAGTGTCGATCTCGGGCTTTGAACTGCTCCGCAAGGAACTGCAATGGGCATCATTCTTGGTTGGGTTCCCCCACGTGTTCATTTAAAACTAACTGCTATACTCCAACTCATTGCCTTCTCAGGCTGACTTGCCTCGCTAGTCTCTTATACTTTTGCTACGCCTCATTCAAATCCTGTTTTCCCTTGATAGGTCTGTGTATCTTACCACGCCGCTACCACGTTCAAAATTCTTTAACAAAGAATATTTACTTATCGGGGTAAAAGTTCCGTCAACTGGGTAAGGATACTATGTAGGCAAAAAGGCAGGCAGTGGAGATTATACAGGCAGTACACTGATTCTGGCTTTTCCCTACTTCTAGAAAAGCCGTACTCTATAATCAAAGGGGTCCCAGACCCGCTGTATGGGGTCAGATGGTCGCATAGGCTACTGTACATCATTGAAGAGGCAGCGGGTATAGACTCCGAAGTTCCGGTTCGGCCGAGTTCTCTATGCGCAAGGGGCCGGATATATTGTTCTATCGCTTTCTCTGGGAACCTTATTATACAACCTCCACGCAGCTCGGATACGAGGTTACAACTTCTAAGTAGCATCCCGATAATATACAGGGCACGTTAATTACAAGGTTTTCATAGTCATAGGAGGGCGTTCCATCTATAGACTTTCAACAATATTAAGAGTCTCCTGTAGTCTCATGTATTTTCTTCCCAGGCATAAATATTTATGAAATCGCGATCTGTGTATGGTCGCTTTTAATGGCGGTTGAATTCAATTAAGTTCACTTCAATATAGTTTTATAGTTCTCTGGTAACAAGATAGTATACAAAATTATGTAGCTACTGATGTTATAAATTAATCCATAAGAAATACGAGGAGTTATTAGTTCGTACTTTCTATTCTTTCTATCTTACTGGTGCAATATTCTGAGATTGTCTAGACAGCCGTGGGTTGCAGCACGACTTCTTGCTGATAGTTTGGATTTCGGTCTCTCATTCTGGGAGGGCCTGTGCCAGCCCGATTATTACCGCTGCTCTTGACAACAGCCCCGTTCGTAATCATACCCAAATAGTATCTGACTGATGATGTTCTTCTGTTTCAACGTGTTGACATGAGGCCGCATTCCTAACGACATATTCCGGGATGCCAGTGGTCATCGAACTCCTAGCCAGGATATCAGCCAAGATCTATAAAATTCCTAAATATATACTGAAATTTTGTCTGGATAACGACACAGATAGATCTTTGGAAGTAGCAATTCAGTACATACGACCACAGGGTGTGGAGAACAGGGCTTCCCGTCCGCTCAGCCGTACTTAAGCCAACTGTGTAAGCTCGGCCAAAGGACAGTGGCGCCCTCTGGGGCTCGCTGCTTTATGGGTGAGCGACGCTAAGTTGTAGGGTGAGTGCGGGTGAGCTGGGTGATCCTTTTCAGAACATGGGTGAGCCGGGTGAGCTGGGTGAGCTAGATGATTTAGTACAGGCTCAATCGCACATTGAGCTATCCTAGTGTCTCCATCATATGAAATAAATAGGGAGG